AATTTATACTAAAGGATAATAATCCATAATAGGGATATGCTTACACAGTTCTACACATGGAATAAGAAAAATAACTAAATAAATCATGAAGGATTTTACTTGCTATAACTAAATATAAAATAACGTATTATTTTATATAATGTGTATGAACTATAGATAACAACGTATACTGTATAAGCATATCCTTCTTCCCAATTATAAACTATATTATCCTTAGCACAAATACATGAAAATTTTCAAAAAATATTATCGGCTAAATAATTTACAGTAAAAAAGTGGGGTTCCCATTTGAAAAACAAAGGTTTGTATAGCCGCAGGACACTCCTTTAGTGGTACAAAAATTCTTAAGAATAGGAAAATATGGTCTTTGAGTATATTTAAAGATTCCAAAAATCAGATTTGAAAAACTTCATTATTAAAGAAAAAAAGGGAGGTGAGCATACTGTTTGGATCACCCTGTATATATTCATTAGTCATTAGTTATTAACAATGTGTGTTACAAGTTACAACCCATAGGTTCTATCTACTCCGTAACATATTTTATTTTTAACAATCTTAAAGATCGTCTCTTAGTTATCATAGTTTTCTAAAGAACATAATGCAGGTCATATTTTTTAGATAGCATATCTTTTGGTTCCAAGTCCACCGAAAGCTAAATACTCTGATGATTTAAAAGTTCACAGCCATACTAAACTATATATTAAAATGTTTTAGCATTAGGCCATATATTATTGTTGTCTTATTTGTTTGTTACCATGCTATGGTATATCATATTATAGATAATTAAATTCAAAATAAATCGATCACAACAATTTGACAGTAATTTTTTCTTCCTTGGTCTATTGTTTAACATTTTTAGACAAATTATATTATATTACTAGCATTTTTTTCTAATTGTTTTTTCTTATTTTTCAGCATACGGTATGAAACATTTTTTAATTTTCATTGATCTTTATACTAATTTATTTTTTAAGTTTTTTAATAGGTACATAAGCAATACTTTTCTTTTTCTTCGAAGTTATTGTACAAATTAAGACAAAATTTAAATTTGTGCTTAATATCTCTTATTCCACCTTAAATTGCCTGACCATGACCTGTTTTTTGGCTTTAAAACATGCCTCACAAGAAAAAATCTCACGAAAAAAATCTCTGTTAATAAAGACTCACGAGTAGGCCCTTTAGGAGAATCTCAGTGCGCTGTTTGAGTTCTCACTTTGAATCACTCACAAAATAAATAAAATGCATTTGTATAGAATATTTTTTTATGTTTTTAGTAATCTTAGAGTAATATCATTCATTACAAAAGCGATAGGGAATAATATTTACGAGGCCATGATATATTGATTTGATTAAATATTGTCTTAAAATATTTTAAACGTAAATTAAACCGACAAAAATGTTTGTATATTTATTTTTTAAGTCGAATCCTCATAAATATTATAGTCTATAATTTGTGTTTTAGATGATTTAACTATAAAATTATTTAAAAAATGATGAAAACGATTTTAGGTGTAAGCGTTTTATCAATATTGCGAGTAGGTCTAAGAGATACGATAAATAATGAGCTGACATCTTCTAAATCATTAAATAATATGAGAATTTTATAATTATATTTATTTAAATCATAACTTTGTTTTTGATTTCTAGATCCTGTGCGTAAGTTGAATTTTTTTTTAGTCACTATTTAATTTTATGCAATATATTCGATGACTCTTAAATGTGAATGTATTGTTTAATAATCCATTGTTTATTTGTTTCTACTGTTTATATAATATTAAATGCAATTTAGATAGTTGTTACTTGTTGTGAATTGCTTTTTAAACATCTACATACAATTTTTTTGATGATTAAAAATAAAAAATTGAATAGCTATTATTTATTATTTTTAAATATTAGTTTTAAACCATCTGCTTATAATTCTTTAATTAATCCATGTTCTTACTGAAGAATAGTATTGTGAATATTTTATATTTAATAACTAAAATTTTATTTTATTTCAGCTAAAGAAGGTACATATACTTAATCAGTTTTAATTTGTACAGATGGTCTTTATCCTTACAACGTTTTCCTCTATAGAATGAAAGAAATACATGCATTTTCCAACGATACTTTTATATTTATCATATTATATCTGTAAACTTAACTATTTTTTTTCGAATCTATAGTCTATTGCATTCGTTGATATTAATCCGTCAAACTGATAGAACTACCACGTTGTTCAAATTCGATTTTCAATTATAAATCATTTTTTAATCAGTAAAGTGTTCATCAGTAGAAGAGTTAAATATTTGAGCATTGTCAGTAGCCCAAAGAAAACATTTTGGAGACAACCTAACCAAAATCCCCAAAAGGCCATCTGTATTTCTAAAGAAAATGTAGTTTGTAAGTTCTACGTAATGAAATATTTTGTAGAATAAGATACATGTAGTATATTTCTTAGATTATGTGAATCATAAGGTATTATATAATTTGTTAAAAAGTATATTTGTTATTTTATTTCTAGATATGATGTGTACGTGAATTTTGTGTTTTTTTAAAAATGTTTTTATAATTTTGCAATTCATTTTATTTGATTTGTGACCACATCTTTTGTAATAATTAACAACCTTTAAATTGTAGATTACTAATCGAGTACCGTTACATGCATGAGTCTCTAGACTTGTCATCCCAATATTTTGTACAACTTTTATTATCTATTCCCTTTCTATTGTTTTGGATTCATGAATTAAAGAATTAACTAATATTTTCAAAAATATAATTTATCCATATTTCAATTGATTCCAAATCATCCTATTCAACTAAATATTTTAAAACCGTATATTTATATCATTCTGTATCTATAAGATTATATGCCAGGTTCCTTAATAATATCACATGAATAACATTAACACATTAATTATTATTTTTTTATTATGTTTTAGGTAAAATTCTACTCAGTGCGTACCTACCTATATATTCAATTTCGTTTTTATGTACAATTTATTTCTGAAGATTGAGTTGAATTTATCACCATTCGAATCATCGAAACGGGCTTTTAAAAATCTTCATTGAAAGAGTATTATTCATTCAAGCATTTTATATGTATTTAAAACTAAAATTAATAATAAAATAAAATAAAAAGTAAAAAGTAATTAACTTTCTTATATTTTGTCCGCCTAGCAAACTTATATAAACATTCATTTTTATAATTTTAAAAATAATTGTGTTTTTGGAAAACTAAAAAAGATTTCAATCAATCGCTGGTTATTGTACTTCGAAATTGGCCAAGTGATAAACATAACAATTGAAAGATATTTTTTGTACATGAATCTATTTGTTAGTATTTAATGAAATACCTTAATACCCATTTTTATAAATTTTTTTTATTACATTTAATTTATACATGGTAATATGGTATGCATAAGCACACGTATAGCCATATAAGTAAGATCAACTTTGTAGGTTTTAAATAAATAAGAATATCAAATCAAAATGTTTAGTCTGATGAATGAATTGTTGAATCTATTGAATATTTAATGTAAAGAGTAACTGACTTAAATGAAGAAAGTACATTTTAAGATATACCAAAATCAATCGGAAATTGTCACAATGTAGTTTATTTTTATAGGTCTAGCAGTTAGATACTTAAAGTTTATAAACTCAAGTATGTATTACCAATGTCTGTTTTAACTTTTTAAGAATTAAAATTGATTTAAAATATTCTATAATAATAACAATTTAGAGTATATTCAATGTAAAACAGTGAATGAATGCCTGATCGTAAAATATGTATACGATAATAGAATTCTGTTGCAATTTTGATTACGTATTTATATTAAATAAAAGAGTATTTTTGGTGTGAGATGTTAGCCTAGGCTTACGTTATCGACAGATTAAGGCAGCCATCCAGGATTTGTATTGGTAGTTAAGATTTATCATAATTGGAAAGGTTAAATATTATTGTTTGGATTAAAATTATTGAAACATCTAATATTTTGAATTTGTATTTAAAATAAAGTACAATCGCTTTGTGTAGAGTAAAATTTCGTCTGGTTTGCTGCACAAATTTCTCTTTATATACATTATATACATACGATTTGTGGTAGAACAATTTAATGCAATCAATCAAAAGATCTATTAACAATTTCATTTGCAGACTTAAAATCTGATAATCCGGTTGACTTCTTCTGTGAAACTAATACTGAAGAAAGTCCAGAAAACAATTACAGAAAATTTATGTTAAGCTTAATCGAGATTAAGGAATCACCATCATATTATAACAATTTGGTCACCGGTCAAATAAAGGTTCAAGACATAAAAGATTAAAGGAAATAACTTTATTCTAATTATATTGTTAGGTTTTTGTTTACTCTCAACGCCAACATGGATGCATTGAAACGTTTCAGCTAACAATAATTCACAATTTTACAAGTACGATAATATTTTGAATTTTTATAATACATTATAAATTTAACTATGGATTTTTTCGTACATAATTATTAATTTTATTAAATGCATTTATGATGGAGTCGAGTACAAAAAACTTTTATTATTTATTTTTTTTAACCTAATAATTATCATCTATGTTCTGTTCATAAGCTATGTTTATATAAATCTTTATGTATTTCTAAAAAAATTACGTTTTACGTTTGAAATATAAAAACAATAAACAATAAACGATGTATGAAATAATATAACTACTTATTTAATTTCTGATTTTTTGAATACAATGAGGCGTTTCATTTATTTTTTTTAAGTTAAACTTTTTTCTGTCCTCGCGAATCATGTGAATTTAATTCTAAGTTTAAGACGCGAACACCCGTCAGTGTTCGAACAGGTAGTATACTAGTATACCAAAGTCAGTGTGGGCACATTTAAAAAACCTCTACGTGGTGTACCCGAGGCAACGTTCTCTAAACGAGTGTTTCTTACTGACCAGTAACTGCCACAGAAAATCCATGAGTCATGCCTTAAGTTTTGTATTTTCTGTGAGTAGTAAGTTGAGGAATCAATAAAAATACTTGTGTGAACAATGAACATGATATAATCTATGATGAATAAACATATTACACTAAAATACATTATATAAAGTCATAATAGAGTAACATTTCAAATATTGCTACCATATAATATAATACATAAGTACATATTATTATAATACGAGTGTCGAGTATAACTGAAATAGTTAATAAGTCAGCTATTTTAACATTATTATGGTCGTATCGTTTAAGAAATTTTGGTTCTTGTCTATTCTAAGCTAAATTTATTGTTAGCCATAGCATAAAAAAAAAACAGTTGGAAAATATCAGAGCACTATTTTTTTTTGTCTCTCTGGCTCATGTGCAACATAGACAAACTACATTTTGGCAGAATAATTTTTTTTATGTTTTTGTGTAATCTTACAGTAAAATTACCCATTACAAAATCAATAGAGAACATATTTTTTTGAGGAAATTCTATATTGATTTGTTTAAATATAGTATAAAAGCAATTTAAACATCATTCAAATTTACAAATTTTTATTTATTATTCTGAAAGTCAAATATGAATTCAATAATTATATTATATATCACTGATACATCATACATTTAAAAATATTATCCTCCATAATTTTTTTAATAAATGATTTTACTCTCTAAGGTTCCTCAAAAATTATAAACAACGATTTTAAGTTTCATCAATATAGAGTGTGAATCTCAGAGAGAAAAAAAATATTGCGCTGACATCCTCTTAAGTATACTTATTGATAAATTAAAAGTGATAATAAACAATAAAAAAAAATTAAATAAAAAATGAAAATGAATCATCTTGAATTTTCAGTATCTCGTAATCCATTAGATCTTTTGATTGGCCTTTGGTTCAAGTAGAAGACAACTTATACTTAAGGGCGATAAAAGCACATACTTTCAATACAACATAAATACTAGTGATAAAGCTGACATTTATCCAGTACAAATTCTCACCCATATCAATTGTTTTAAGCATTACTTTTGGTGAACCAAATGGACAAAATATCTAAACAAACATAAAAAAACACTTTATTTTAATAGTTAAACAATATTATAATTTGTCCTGCTCACTTATTTTAATATATTAATTTTTAGTTGTTTTTTACCATCAGATTTATAGAAAATGTACAAATATAAAATAAAAAATGTTCTCAATGTATCTTTAGATGCGGAATTAGGGCGTTCAAATTTCTGTGGGAGTAATTTTTTTATGAACCTATGAAAGTGTTTGGTATTGAATGTTAGAAAGCTATTTATACTTCCCATAATTTGAAGGAAAGAAAAAGAAAAATATAAAATCATATAAGTAGAGAATGAAATAATAATCGCTATTCTTGTATTAACTACCTACTACACCACTTAACGGAAATAGTTCAAACTATTACAACAATATACCATTAATGTAGTATTCTGTCTTTTGTCATTTACTTTGTATGACATAATATGTCATTTGCACAATTTTAAGCTATAATAAATAAAATGTGATTATGCTAGATTTGTAAATTGGTTCAGGCATCAAGCAAAATTTTAAAAACTTTAAGATTATGAACACTATAATTTTTAATATTCTAAACCTAGGCTGTATTGATGTTGCATTTTTGTTAAAATGTTTGATTCACAATAACTTTTATGAAGTATTTAATATTCAAGTATCAAGTTACATTTTTCATAACATTTCTGGGAGATATATAATGAAATTCCATCTAAACTTATTTTGAACAAAAGTTAAACAAAATTTTCTTGTTGATGTATATTTTCTTATATACCTAGAAAATAAGTACCTATTGGTTTATAAATTCTGTAAAAGCATGTTGCATTGTTATGATTAATTTTGTTGATTTTTTTTTTATTAATTAACTACTAATTACAAATCCAATTTTAAAATCCTAAAATATAATTAATTCACTTACAACTGGACAAGGCAATACAGAGCGATCATAACCATAAACTGAATGAAGTACGCCTTGCACAGAATGTTTCATAAATGATACATCATATAGCCATCGATATATTTTAGGGGTATCTGATATTCTTATCATGCCACCTGCATAGGTAGTCCAAAACATTAATATCAATGCTACTATTACAGTATTAATCTAGAACAAAATGTATATTATTTTAGTATTTATGTTTATCAAATATTAGCTTAGGTGTCACAACTTACAACAAAACCTTTACAGAGAGTACTGACAAGCATTCCAATGGCTTGTGACATAAGTCCTGTTACAATAAATATCAACAGAAACATTGAAATCCTAAAGAGTATAAAAGGTTGACCAGATAACAGGTATATTAACGAACAAAACAAAAAGGTACAAAAAATCTGAAAAAAATAAAATATAAGAGCTGTAATAAATACACTTTGTAGTTTACAATATTTGTTTATTTCTGTCAAAGAATCAGAAATAATTAGTTAATTAATTTAAACTTTAAATATTGTTTAATATGTTTAGTTTTTACTTGTACTGGTAGATCCACAATTGTAACAGAAATGTAATAAGAACTTAATGAATACCATCTGTTAAAATATTCTTTTCGCATCACTGACAACTCTAATGGAACTAAAACATTTAACATAAAGCACAAACATGTTCACACATTGCATTATAAATACTAACTTATCATATATACATACAAATATAACATTGTGTATTGTGTAATGTTATTTCTATTAAGATGATGTCATACTCGTATGTGTTGTCTCCGACTTACACACATAACACACAGCAAATTAATGTTCACTAGCTTTAATAGTTAGCTGTTAGTTTTGGTATTGGGATGAATTGACCTATTACCAAACTTTTAGGTAAGAAATTTATTTATGTTTTTTCATTTGTTTTTAACAATATTTTAATTTTTTTTTAAATTAATTGAGTATTTAAAAATATTAATACTTTACACACTCATAACTCACTTAAAAATTAAAATATCATAAAAAACCAACGAGAGAATACAAATAATGTCCTTACCTACAAGTTTCATAATAGGTCAATTCACTCTTATATCAAAACTAACATCACACAATTCAAACTATTGAACAAAATGTTGTCGTATGTGTGTAAGACAGAAACAATACAGCAACTGTAACATACTCTTAATTTATACAGTAATATATGTATAGATATTTAAATATTTAATGTATTTATACAAATACTAACATTTTATAGACATTGTAAAGGCTGCTACGTAAGCCATAAACATTACACAGAAAAATAGTAATACTGCATTGTCACGAACGTGCATGGCACTCTGCCCAAGTCCTATGTAAACAATTCCAAACATGCTCCCCAGCAAGAAGTGGACAAAAAGTCTTACTTTAACTAGAAACTTGAAAACAAAATATATATTTATAAATTTACCTAGTAGTCTATTATAAATCACTAACATGATCTCTAAAAGTAGTTAGTAAAGTTCTGTGTACAAGTATACAAAGCTCAGGAAAACATTTTGAAGAATATTCTCGACTATAAATTACAGGTACAGAGTTAGCACTTTGGTCTGAAATAAATAAACAATGAATTACATTATATTATGTAATTTATAATAAATTTGTTCAATGTTATGGTGTAATAATAATATTGATTTAAAATTGCTTACCAATTATATGCCGATCATTCTTGTTATGTTCTTTAGCTAGCTCAATCATTGTATTAATGGGGATTCCATATTCACCCAAACTCAGTTCAATTACTGAATAAATAATTCAACATATTTAAATACATTCGTGTTTCTACACATATACATTTTTTTAGAGGCATTACCACCAACCATAATCAGCAGGGTTGTGATAAACAGGACATTGAAATCCAAGATCTGAGAAATAATCAATTATTTGTGATGATTTGCCATTATACATGCATTGTCCTGAAGGTGTAAGAACATAAACAGTGTCAAAATGTGTCAAATGAGAAGCCGAAGCTTGATGTATGGTGCATATTATGGTTTTCCCAGAATCAGCCAATTTTCTCATAATCTTAACAACATTATTTGCAGACACGATATCCAGACCTCTGATCAATATAAATAACAATTTTAATATTAAAATAAATCAAAAGGTTATAATTTATGAAAAGCTATGGACAAATACAAGTATATTACGTTGTTGGTTCATCAAAAAACATCACTTTTGGGCTGCGAACTAATTCTAAAGCAATGGTCAATCTTCTACACTCGCCACCGGATAAATTATAAACCAATGAGTCTCGTTTATCATGTAAAAGTAAATTATGAAGTAAACTGTCTATCTGAAAGATCCAAATATTATCAGTATACTTGTTTTTCTAATTTACACACTAGTAACATAATGTATATTGTAAAAAGTAAAAACCTCTCCCCGTAATTCACACATTGTGATTACTGTTATTTAAATGAAGATATTATAAAAATTATAAATAATAACATTATCTGCTTTTCATAAAAATCTTTCTTTAATATTTTATTTTTGGAGTTATTAATAATTATAAATAACTAAGCATTTTTAAATAATTTCCTAGGAATCACAGATATTATTCTTTGAGTTATTAATTATATTTTTATAATCAGTAATGCAATCTCAATTATAATACATAATTTAATCAAAATGAGTGAAATATGGGGAGGTTTTATCGTTACTCTAATATATTCTATGTGAGTAAGAGTGAGAGCATTATTTCAATGATGCAGCCTCATAAAATTGATTGACAAGGTTTCAATAATTTTTGGAAGCTCACTGAGATTCTTTTTTGAACATCCAATGTAGTGATAGAATGTTTAAGTTTCATTGCAATCTCCATAGATTCTTGAACAGTTAAATACAATTGCAAACTATCCTCTTGCATGATGTAGCTTGAAACATTCCTAAATGATAGCAAATCTCGCCGTGCTCCATTTAAAGTTACAGATCCTTGGTAACCACTTGACCTATACAGTTTAAAAATATAAAACAAAAGATTTTTTTGTAAAATAATACATTTTAAAATTATCAATTTTATAGGATTCTTTATTAAACTTGTATAATTATGTGTTAAGTAAATATAGTTGGTAATAACATACTCACATGTAACCAGATAAAATATTCATAAGAGTTGACTTTCCAGATCCAGAACATCCAAGTATTGCTCCTATTTGATTTCTACGGAACAAGCCACTAACATTGTTCAAAACGGTTTTCTTTTCTGAAACAACAGGGTGTGTTGATATCTGATAGCTATAATATGATGATTTAATTTGAACAGAGCCAGTAAAATGATAGAAAATTCTGAAAGGAAAGGGGAGGCCAAAAGACCAATAATTTATAGACTATTTCGAAATAGATTCCCTTTAATAAATCCAAGTGACATCATTTGACAATAGTTAGAGCATCTTAAAGGAAAATTATATTCTGAGTAAATATTTATCAAAAAAACTTTGGCCACACTTGCAGAATAAACAATATTTTCACATAGTATTGTCTATAGTATTTGATATTATGTACCATACCAGGCCTTAAGGTCTTCGTCACCAGAGGGTCCCACACATTGACTGTCAGGATCACGTCTGTGAACTCCACGTCAATACCTTCCATCTCCGGATGAACGGATGATTTAACTATAGCTACCTACCTAGCATATACACCATCGGAAGCGGCAGCTCAAACTGCTCTTAAACTAGCCAAACAGTGGCAGTGGACTAGAAAATACAAAATTGTATTAATTAAGTGCAATTTTTTTGATTCACAAATTATTGTACGTCACGAATAATGCACAGTATTAACTGTTAAGTATACGAACGAAACTTACCCCACCATTATTAACTTATTATGTTATTACGATGGGCATTCGGCCTTGATGGCTTGATGAAAAATTATACAGATATAAATACAGGATACTGGTAGTCATTATTGATTATTATTGTTTAATGTTTATTACAATCCCGTTGACGCGTGATATAAATGACATTATTGTCATCATGTCACGGGCCACGGCCATTATTTTTAAATTTAGTAATGTCATTACAATTTATAATATGTATTAATAATTACTACTATTATTATTTATTATTATAGATATTAGATAGTAGATACCTAAAATTAAATAGACTTGTTGTTGTGTGTTATCGCCTACCAACTTGACCCACATTCCAACAGACTTTGGTGTCGAAGCAGCTGTTCGACGACAAGACCTATTCTGATTTCTGATAACAGCAGGTCACCAACGGCAAATGTCCGTCACAAATCAGTAAATCACAATAATTCACAAATGGATAACGCCGCCTTGTCGGGTTACACCAATCTAATCTTTATTCTGTGGTCGTCAACACAGGAAAAGGAAACAAAACAAAACCTTAAATCATGAACTCGACTTTTCTCATCGCTGACGAAACTATCTAAATTGCTTTAGAAAACAAAAACCAGACTTCGCGAGGATCCTTAAAATCGGCATATTAGACTTAAGGTTTAAGGCCGGCCGAGGGACAATATTAGGTACTATAATGATTAATGTATATTTATGTTGCGTTTTGCGTACTCCGGTACTCGTAATAGTATACAGAAAACCCCCTCTATAGAGGAATCCCTCTATTCGACATTTCGTCGGAATCCTCCTTATAACGGAAAATGTCGATAATCCTGGTTCAAATAATATATGAAATTGAGATCTCTAAGATGGAACCTCTACAAAACGGAAACGGACCAATTTCGTGACCCAACTATCAAAAACACCCTCTGTAAAACGAAAAATACATTTATTATTTCAAGATAAAAAATATTTAATTGTTGAGCTTCAAGATTGTCATTTTGAGAGTAGACGAGTTTTGGTCAGCCGCCGTATGCTTTCTCTCGTGGCCTGCAGTACACTATATAGTATCCAGTGGAGAAACTATGACCCCCTCAACTATTGATGGGGGGGGGGGGGGGGTATTAGTAATGAATAATAAGTATAGCACAGTACCGTAGCCAGAATTTTTTTTCGGAGGAGGGGGCTACAATATTTTAATGCTAGGGCTATAGGCTATAGCCCTATACCGTAAAGGTACTACCGGCTAGCTATAGTAAGTTTGATATTTTGGGTGGGGTCTTAAACCCTAAAGCCCCCCTAGCTACTGCATCGATATATAGCAATAAGCAACTACCTACTGCCCGAATAATATAATACAATTTGAGAGTTTGTCAAATAATATGTTGGTACCTTGTACCTAAGTATATTTTGTACCTTTCAACGATTATTAATTAATTATTGCTCGGTAACAGCAGACAGTGCCATATTTTAATGGATTTCCTGGTGTATTGACCAATTTGAATGAAAAAAAGTACTGCTTACTAAAGCCTAATTTCAATATAATGGAACCTACTGCCTATTTCCAAAGTTGGAACTTGCTTGCTGAAGCGTGAAACCTAAAGAATGTGTGGAGTGGACACGGAGTTGTGTGATGTGTCAGCAGTCTGTCGGTCAGAACTCATCAGTATTTAAAACAGCCAGAACAAAGTATGTGATCTCGAATTTAGACGAACTCAATAAAGTGAGACGATACTGTTTAGTGTTTAGTTTAGAGCACAGTCTTTATTACACTGTGGTCTAGGCTCCAGAGTACAGTATGAAATAATAGACAAATATTATAAAATATAAATTAATAAATAATTATTGACGATAAATTCGAGAATATTAAATTAAAAAACAATTACAAACTGTGAGTATTCAATATTCGATAGTAGATGTATTTATTAAACATTGAAACGTGACCGTCTCGCCGGGAGATACGGGGTGACACCAAATGGCCATTTTTTTTAAGCTCAAATAACAGGGTTTTCAATTTTTCATGATCTCACAGTAGTTGCTAAATGGAAAACAATATGTATCTATGTACTATTTTGTAATAATTGATAAATAATGTTACTCTAATGATCCCAATACCACATTGCTAACCTTGCATAGTTGCATTAAATTGTCCATCTTTCTTTATTGAAAAATCCCGCAACATTTTCTAAAATGTATTATTATTCTAGTACTCACTAAATTATTCCGTAGCAATCATCATAGGTAGTATATAATAGTATAATATATAATAGGCCAATAGGCGTTTAATTAATTGCAACATTTGACATTAGTACATTACTACATTACCTATTATCTACAAATTACAATCGAGCATTCGACTATGGTAAGTTATATTGGGGTCAGTTGTCAGTAACGGTTGAATTACATTTCGGGTTACAATTGACGATAACCTTTGAATGATTTCGAATTTCACTCGAGATGCTTGTGGCAACGATTCACTATTATAATGACCCATCATTATATTAATTGTTATTTAATTACTATTAATAATACCAACTGGCTACTATATATGTTCAGTCGTTCGTTTTCTCATTATAGTTTTTTTTATCGTTAATCACAGTATTTAGTATATTTTGCCTACTATACCTATATTCATCTACCTTTCCACCCAGCTAGTAACTACAATAATATTATAACAATATTATTGCTATTTGAAATCATAGTAAAATGATGTATATCTATAGATATGTGTCGATGAAACAGTCCCTATCGGAAACACTACGTATCTTTTACGAACTGGCTTACTATAATATATTACTTTTTTTATAGTGCACAACGCGGAAACATAAGATAGGTAACGACTGACGAGATTTTACATTTACACGATATCGAGTACACTAATATAATATTAAATTATAAACCTTAATAATATTATATGTATTTAAATTCGACTGTTTTTTTTCTTTTTGATTTCTGGGAGAGGCATGCCCCCCCCCCCTTGAGTCACCACTGCCTACAGTATTGTAGCTGCATAGAAGTTATAGAACACTATAATATGTATTATTATATTCCTCCATGTGGTATAGCCGTATAGGCAATAGTAAAGGTACAATGTGTCGTAATTCGTAGAAATATTATGTCTCCCCACAACTTACTGACAATTGCACTGCAGAAGATATCGAAAACGGTAGGTACGAACTAAGGAACATTAATGTGGCATTGTGGCCTTCATTTGGGCCGAAACGATATAAATTAATTCACGTATCCACCAATAATGTCTTACGCAAAAAGTACTCAACCACCATGATTTATAATTTAGGTATACTATAGAAACACCATTAAATTATTTCAGTGTAACTATATTTTTGCTTATCTTATTTTATTTTATCGTGTTTAAATAGTTTACTTATGTTATGGTTTTATTAAATGTTGAATACTTATATGCACTTGATAGTGATACGAAAAATTATTAAAAAAAAATTCCTAGGTATAGGTCTGTACGTTAGGTTATAAAATCAACGGTACGACGTTTATAAATATTTTGGGGAACTCCTAGAGTAGATTCCTAGCCCGTAGGTCAAAACTTAATATTTGGGATGATTCACTCGCAAGTATGACCATTCAATCTTTTCTTCAATAATGCAAAATTGCAAATTTTTCAAAATCTAATTTTTGGGATTTTTAAATGTAGCCAATTTATTGAGATTTTTGGTTTTATACTTGAGGAGTGTCGTGTGAAGATACCAACTTACGTTTTTTGAAAGATTATACCTCCTCTATATCTATATAGGTATTTTAAATTAATAATAATATTACTTAGAACATTTTGAATTATAATCCAATAGAGTTGTCTTTCAGGTATTTACCTATTTGTACTAAGGATAATAGACAATTATTAGTTTCATACATCAATGAAATCAGATTTGAAAGATATAACGACAATGAACACTATATGGTGATTTGAACATTTTAATAAATAATATTAGGACATTAGGTAATCCCTCAACATTTATAATTTGCATAATTAACGGTCCAAGTATACTAAATACTAGATTCAATAAACCTACCTATAGCATTAGCCTTAGTACCTATAAAAATTTTAATAACTACAAAACTACTCGTTTGAGTTTTGAAGTGGGTACCTACATTAAAATTTTCAAAAAAATTATAAATTTAATAATTTACATTAAAAAAGAGAGGTCTCATTATAGGACACTCCTCTGCAAGTATTACAAACAAATTCAAGAATATGAAAATATGGTTTTACAGTTTATTTGAGTAGGAAGGTATATTTAGTTCCAGAAATCAGAATTTCAATAAATTCATTACCTATTAAAGGAAAAATTGGGGATGAGAATGCTTGGTGATTTACTTTGTATATTTTCATGTTGCAATCATGTACCATATTATTATTATGTCAATATGTCCGTACTTCGTAAGTCGTAACAAAGATTAAAAATAATAGTCAAAGAAAACTATTAGGTATGGGATACGTATAGTCGAATTTGACTTTAAATAATAAGTTTCAATAAATAAATTGTATTAGGTACTGTGGGTTCATAATGTTCAAATTATAAAAATTAATATTAAGATTGTATTTTAGTTTTATACTTGATTTAGAGAATTTATATGATCTAAAAATTACTAAATACTACTAATTATAGGAATGAAAATCAACGATATTTGAAGAAAAAGTTATTAGTGTATTACGCAGAATAAGAAAACTTGATTTGGGAAAGCTGTCCATTGACAACACTCCTAGAGATAAGTAAAATCAAATAGGATTACTCTGTATGTAGGATCTTTTCAATCCTTTTTTTTTTTTTTTGGGGGGGGGGGGGGGTGTAAGAAATTGTTTTAAGTACATTTTCTGTGAGGCTGTTACTGGCTAGTCACTCTAAGACTTAGTACATAACAGCGAACAGATGCAACTGTGTAAGATTGTATAGCTGTTTTAGCAATTATTTTAATTTATAAGTCAAATATTTGACTTGTAAATAGTCAAAAAATGTTGTTTTGCTTTATTTGATTGTTTTAATGAATTTGTATACAGTATGTTCTGGAATAGTTTAAAAAGTTTGTGGAGATTTAATTTGGGGAAGAGGATAGATTTTGAGAGGAAAAATTTACCAAGTATAAATCTGTAATTAAATTTATTAATTGTACTTGTAGTTTGTACACAGCGAAAGATCATGTTTATTACTTTATTATAGTTTTTCACTAGTTGATCAGTTGTGTATACACCAGGGGTGATGTAGGAGTTATATATCTTTTACTTTTTTATGAATAAAAACTTAAAATGTAACACTCGAGTAGTTGTTCATATACATAAAAATGTACATCGGTTTTTATATATCCTTTCTAGTATACCTATCTATGAGCAATATTTGAATTTGTTATAGTAAGACTTACAACTATATCAGGAGTGGCAACCTTTTTCGTGTCTTGTGTCAACATTTAGTAATCAGATTTGTAAAATAATGCATTTGCCAGTAATATATGTTCATAGGAATGAGGTACCTATGAATCATTTTTTGTCTGTGGAGTCCCAAAAAAAGTTGACTGAAATTATTTTAATATTAGTTGTGTATTTGATAAGTTTTAATGAAACACAAGCAGCATGAGCTTCATCCTACAATGTATTATTCTTATAATTCACTGTCGAAAATAAACTCTAATATATTATGCTTGTTATATTTCTTATATTAGAAACTAATAATTACCTAATGATGGGAAAAAAGTTCAGAAATAATACGCAAATAGTAAAAATTATTTTTATTAAATAAAAAAAAAGTTTAATAGCAGAATTTGTTAAGCCTGTCAAAAAACTTGACATCAAAATATTAATAATATTAATAGTGTTTATTTAGATTATATTTTAGGAATTTGTGAGTAATAATTATAATAAAAAACTATAAGTAAATTAAAAATTATTCTTTCATGGACTCTTCAGTAGGTTGAGCAGATGCTTTTGGTTGTCCATCATCACCCCTCTTCTTTGTACCTGACACAATATCATCAATACGCACCAACAATATAGCAGTTTCAATCGCAGTTTTGTATACTTGAGATTTCACAACAATTGGTTCCCAAACCTTGAGGTCTTTCATATCAGCCATTTCACCTGTCTCACCATTTATTCCCCAACTCGCATTACCGCTTACTGCATGTTTTGCTCTTAAAGATGTCATTGTTCTTATTGTGCTGACACCACAGTTTTGCAAAAGTGTACGTGGAATAACTTCCAATGCCTGGGCAACTGCTTTGTATGGCCATTGAGTCACACCGGCAATTTCAGCACTTTTTTTAACTAATGACTGTGATATAGCCATTTCTATAGAGCCACCGCCTGATACTAATTTAGGGTTTAGCATTATATTTTTGGCTACGTGTAAAGCATCTTGTAAATTTCGTTCAACTTCATTCAATATGTCCTTGCTTGGTCCCCTAAGCAAAATAGTGCAAGCCTTTGGATTAACACATTCAGTAATGAAAGTAAAATATTCATCGCCTATCTTTTTAATTTCAAATTGACCAGCACCAGTTCCAACATGGCTCTCCCGTAATTCATCTGTGCGTGTAACAATAGTAGCGTTACAAGCTCTTGCAACACGATTATTGTCAGATTTTCTTAAACGTCTCAACACTGAAATGTTAGCCTTTAACAAGAAATGCTGTGCCAAATCAGAAACTCCCTTTTCTGTACAAACCAGGTCTGGTTTTAGTGCTATAATATCAGAACATATTTGTTGAATATATTCTTCTTCAATCTGCAATAACCGTGTAAAGTCAGTTTCTTTGACAATTTCGACTTCTGTTTGGCTTTCCCCTTTTTTGAATTCCAAAGAACAATCCAAAAGAACTATCCTGGGATTTTTTATAAACCTTCTCATTTTTGGATGTGTGACATCTTTGTTCAACATAATACCATTTAAAACCTGAGAATCTTCAATAGCTCCACCTGGTACTTTTTCAACCTTTGCATACCTCTTGATATCAATTTCAGTACGACCTTCATCTCTAATACTCACTGTCTTAACAGCACTTAAAGCAATACTACATGCCAAATCTGACCAGCGACCAATGAACTTGGTTCCAACGCAGGATTTAATTACTTCAATTAATTTAGGCTCATCATCCAAAGATAATGGCGTACTATATTCCCTATCTAAGAAGTCCAACATGTCTTCTAAAGCTTGTCGATAAGCTCTGATTATAACAGTGGGATGAAGTTTTTGTTCTAAAAATTGTTCTGCAACACCAAGAATTTCACCTGCAAGTACTACTACTGATGTTGTACCGTCCCCAACTTCTTCATCTTGAGTGCGAGCAATCTCAATAAATGATTTAGCAGCAGGATGTTGAACAGTAATTTCTCGTAAAATAGCATTTCCATCATTTGTCATTACAATTCCACCCATTGGGTCCATCAACATTTTAAGCATAGCTCTGGGTCCAATGCATGTACGTACAACATCAGCAATTGCTTTGCCTGAAATAAAAATTGATTTTTTTGATAATTTAATAAAATAACTAAGAACTTTAACTTACTGACACAAGATTAACTAATTATAAAATAGGTGATAGCATGCACATTTGAAATAAATTATGGTTCTTAGGTAGTATTTTTTAATATTAAAAACTAAATTCAATATTAACTAATAATTCAAAGGCTAGGTTAGGGTTTAAACATTCTTGTGAATTAGTCACTCACATTTTTAAACTTGTTAAATATCATAATTGAAATTATAAGCTAACAGTACAAAAGCACCCATTTAAAGAAATATATAAATCTCATGTATTCATAAATTATCAAAATGATGTATATTAAGTACCTATAGGTAATAGCTACCGTCTACCTATTATAATATATTAATTATGAGTTTTGTTATTACATGTGTTTATATTTAAAATACATTTTGGTAGAATGTAAAATGTACCTAATGTAAATGTCCAACATTAGAAAAATGCAAAAATCATATTAGATGCTCCATATATAGCACGTAATATAAGACTTGATATATTATAAAAACATGGGTGATACAGTTATGGAGCATAAATATAACTTTTATATATATATGTTTAACTGATAGGTTGATCTGACAACAATCAATTCTTTTAACAGATTAAAATGTTGTGCATCAGGGCTGTTATATAGCGCAGCTGTTTCCCGTTGCCCTCTCAACAAAGCTATATAGTTAAAATAAATAGTAAAATTTAAGGTTCAAAAACTTTAAATTCACGCTGAAAATATTATAAATATGTTTTTTGTACAATATATAATATGTAGGTAAGTTTAATTTCATTGAATAGTGTTGATAATGTTGGAAGTTTGATACTGACCATATATAAAGTATAAACAGGTCAAAAAATATCATTTATAATATGACATATTCTATGCATTATCTAATAAATATTAAATGTACACACACTTTTTCTTAGGTTCACTACAACTAAGCATATTTTAATGAGTCATTAACTCAGATAATTTTTTTATGTAAATATTTCAATTTCAACAGTCATATTTATAAAATAATTACATGTTAGGTATATTATTATATTATTATATTAAAATAACATGGATTTAATAACATTTGCATGTATCAATATAAAAAGATGACAATGAAATTATTTACCTGCGGCAATGTTCTCCAATTGAACTTTATGTCCAAACTTCCTTTTTGTGTTGGCATTCAACACTAAAATCGGAGCACCACTCTGGGACATCATCTTGGTAATAGTCGAATTAAATTTGTTTGAGCGAAATAAAAAAAAGACTCCAAATTACTGTAAAACTTTTAACTTACAAAACAAAATTCGCTGACAATTAGTGCATGTGCTTCTTATCCTTATCAAAATGTTAGTGGACCCGACCACAAAATATAATTCACAGGCCGGACGGGGCGCGTCGACCATATTTTTCAGGATGACCGAACGGTGTGGGTAACATCGTTCGATCAGTGCCGCCACCACAGAGTTTGGAGTGTATCGACCCGGGGTCGCCGTGTAAATGTGTAATAATATTATTATTTTTGTTTATATTTTCGTCTGGGCACCCTGACAATCTTCTCCGGCGTCTGCGCAATGCTCGTTTCTCATTTTCACTATCAACAACGTTATATTATTATATTTGTATTTACTATTTTGTTTTGAAGTTTTGAACATCGATCGGGATTCGGGACTACAAACTCCAATAGCGTCTGGCTAGCGCCACTAGGGAGTCAACACTCAATAGCGTTTGACTACTGTTCGATGAGTGTCTGAGTTGAGGCGTTTATCTTTACATTTTTATTACTTTTTTTGCCTCCACCCGCATCCTGCCAACTCCTGCTGAACAACTACTTAGCACATTCGTAGTAAGCGTCCGGACTCTGGACAAGCAGTGGTATTATCTGTTGCTTAAAAACGTGATCTCCATTTTCCGTGGTTCCAGGTGGTGATCAGTAGTGGTTCCATCTCCGCTTCTACTTCGGGAATAAAGTTCTCAGATGTAAGTATATCATTATAAATTGGTGGGCTTGCGATCAGCTATGCAACGCAGACATTTGTAGTTTCGGTACCGAAATAACCAAAATGATGTCCCTAGACGTTGAGCCGCCATTTTGGGCGCGATCACATGACCTCTCAACTCGCCCCCTCACTCGACCCTCGACCCCACTCGCCCATTGGCAGAGTATTTTAATTACTTTTGAAGTTTTCCTACAGTTTTCCCTGTTAGGCGTTACAATTTTAAATACAATTCTATGTTGCACCCATCTAAGTGTGAGTTAACTACATTTTATCATAAACTAAAATAAATACTTCTACAGTTATACAAAAATTGGGTGGAGAGGTCTGTCATGATGTTGGTATTCTGTGTTGTGTGGTGTTAGAATTATAACCTATTCAAATATTACCGACTATGTAGACATGGTTTCCAATTGATATACAGTACTGATTTGGACTTTTGGAAACAACGCGTCTACTTATGTAAAAAATTAATTCTCTTAAGCATGGCTTTAAACACAATCAACATTTTTTTTTTTTTTTGCTACCTAATAATTGTTTATTTGAATGCCAGGTTTATCTGAACTAATATTCTATGCGAATCATTGTGTGGTGTCTTACCTAATAAATGCTTCACAATAATAATAATATAGTAGTTATCTAATTGAAAAAAATCCATGGTGAAGGTATGTCCTGCATTCCTAACTATATATTCTACCTTAAAATAATATAGCATTTTTTTAGTATTCAGTATAGGGATCTATAATATTTTTAATTTTTTCTTTTTTCAATTTGCTTCAATCATAATGGTTATTGGCTTAAAGAGTCTTCATTTATTATATTTGTATACTTTTTTTATTTATTTAATTATAACTATGATTGTTTTTTACTCTGCTCCTTTAATCTTTACTCAATTCTCTATAAGTTTGGAAAAAACTGCACAGTGTCGAAATGGTAGGACCACTTTGATTTGCGATTAGTTTGTTGCTCACCAACTACAGCCACAAAACTGCACATGCATGAACCGCAACGTGCTTTCATCAGTTTTTTCCACATTTTGTTTTTGAAGTACAGTAGGTGCTTATGTTGGAAATGTTTAGTAATGAATTTATTATAATTCTGATTCTTGACATTTTTAAATATCTTTTTAGACCACATTATCAAATTCTTGAAACTTTTTGTAGTACTTAAAAAGTTTTATGTAGCAATTCAAACTTTTGTTTTATAAACAAAGATCACCCCTTTTCAGTATAAATTATTTATAGAAATTTTTTTAGAAAATGAACAATTAGGTTTTCAGTTTTTAAAATGTGTGTATTAAAGATAATAGTCCTTAAAAATGGTTTTAAAAAATATAAAATTACTTTAATATTTGGATCAATATTTAGTATGCTAGTTTTCACCCCAAATCTTTTTTTTAAAATTTGTTATTTGATTTATCGTAATAAGTTGCGGTAATCATATAGCTAAGAAATCGTATTGTCAGATTTTACTATTAATCTTTGGCTGCATACCCAACTATCTGATTACAATTATCTAGTCTATAGGAATATATATTTTGTTTTCTTCATATTATTTTTCATAATCGAATGATGGCAATAAAGCAGTCTGCAGTAAACATACGTATATGCTTACGCGCAACTAGTGGAAAGGGCTTAGCACTCTAGATGAAAAATAATGGATTTCAGAATTGTATTTGGTGCATATATCCCTCCTAAAATGTAAGCTCTAGTTGTCCCTAAAGGTGGAGGGTTGAGCCCCCTACCGGCTTATATATGATTATTAGGGCTGTGAATTTAATGCACTAAAAAATCTTTTGCAATAAGCAATAAAATATGCACTTAAAATGCAAAAAAAAAAGGAATATAAAATGCCAAAAATTATAGTATAACATTTTTATATTTATATTAATATTAGATACAAGATATTAAACATTAGTACAAAAAGTGTTTAAAAACCATTTAATAAAATAAAAATGTTGATTGAATTTGAATTTACATTTGCATTGAGTTAAATGCTATTCACCTGAAACATATTTAAAAAAAATTTGTTTGCATACATTTTATTTATTTATTAAAATAATGAAACAAACTTAAAGATATTTATTTCCAAGTATACCTTTACTGTTGCATTGGACAACAAGTGCTCATTTGATGTTCTCAAATAAAAATGACTGCCGATTGTCTGTCAACAAATTTTTAAATGCCGAAAAACTCCTTTCAACATCTACAGACGTAATAGGAGCATATCGCATAAAAACCATGAAATTCGTGACTGATATATGATATGCCACAATAACTTATCTAAGTTATCTAATTGTCTAGCAATTGCTTTATTTTATCGAATTGTGAACTTTACCTAACCCGTATATAGCGTGTGACTTGTGTAAAATATTATTTAATAAAATATAAATTTGACATAATATATACAGCCCGTGTAAAATAAAATAAAAATGTTTTCAAACAAGTCAATTGACGGAATTTGATTGAAAATACTAGAAAATGAACTAAAAAAGCAAAATATGACCTACAAATGCGAAAAAATGACCTAAAAAATTAAAAATGTCAAAAATGCAAAAATATGCAAAATAAAAGTTTCATAGACACCACTGATTGCACCATTTCTTTGAATTATATTTATTGATTGATTAATACACACAAGTAATTACTAATATTTCCAAATTATCATAGACCTTATATTTTCCAAATCTATCGCCATATACTTATTATGTTTAATATACTAGCGCACATTAAGAACATGACCTGTTCTCTATCTAAAACAATTTTTTTTTTTTGAAAACTAAAATTTTCAGAAAAATTTTTTTCTAAATATTTTTGGGTAGAAAGGTTATCATTTGAATAACAGAAGTTTGTAACTCCGCTGGACTCCTTAAATAGTATAAATAAATTCAAAAATTATATTTTGAATAACTGCAATATTGAAAAAGTAGAAGAGGGTAAACATGCTTAATAAATCACCCTGTATATAGTTAAAAAAAATTTTTTTTTGTTATTTTTTATTAAGAAAGACAATTTACAATCTGTACACAATAATTACAATAAACAAATATGATTAAAAAAAAAAATAGAATAAAGTAGCTTGAATAACGTGATGAGGAAGAAACCCAATGGTAACACCTCCTTTACTAATTTAAAAGGTCTCTACACCATTTTCGCTTTAGTCTGTGTGGTGGGTTTTTTGGGAGGGTGAGGGAGGACATGTGTGATATCAAAGTATTGTTAAATGAGTGCTTAAATTTTGGTGGAAACGTTTATACTTGCATTGTTTTGGCTTGTTCAGTTGTAGTTAATATTTTTAAGTCATTGTGTAAGGTAGAGTTTGAAACGTACCAGGGGGCTTTGGTTACTAACCTTAGCGCAATTGATTGAAAAGCCTGAATTGGCCTGATGTTTGAGGCTTGGCTGGGCCCCAGATTGCTATTCCATAAGAACAGGCTGGTCTTATGATTGACTTATATATAATAAGTTTGTTTTGGAGTGATATTTTGGAGTTGATGAGTGTACAGAGGAGATGAAGTCAATTGTTCGCTGATTTTCTTTTTTCTTTTAGGTGGAGGCCCCAGGTAAGTCTTTTATCGAGTGTTATGCCTAAGTACTTTATTTCGGTTCGGACAGGGATGGGGACGTTGTTCATGATTAATTGAGGGCACTCTCGGGGAGATTGTTTTAACGTGAAAGTAACTTGCACTGATTTGTCAGTATTTATTTTGAATTTCCATTTTTTTTCCCATTATGTTAAAATTATGTAGGAAAAAAATAAATGTTTGACTTCAAGACGGGTGTGGATTCAGCTATGGATGCTTGGGCACCACCTTTGTCTAAGCCAGCAATAAAATTAAATTACGTTGTCTTAAATAGAAAAGTATAACCAATTTTTTTTTTATAACCCCTTATTACATGTGTACATTTAATAAGTAGGTAACACTAATAAATAATGATCATAGTTGTGCTTCGACTTTGGGTGCAGTGTAAGCTAATAATAATATGGCCCCCAAAAATATAAATTTCCCTAAATATATGCTCTTACCAATGCCTGATAAACATTTATTATGTTGAAGAGTAATAATTTATTATTAGCTGTTAGGTTAAGATATATTATCAACTATCATAAGTCAGTACTGATGTACCATAGCATGGTTTCCATAAGTTTATTAAATTAGCATAAGATAGTCAAAGCCGTGATTCATGATGTAGATAATTCCGATGATAATTCATTGTGTAGGTTATGTAAAAAGCTAATAATAAATATAGCGGAATAAAGTTATTACCACAGAATAACTAAAGTCATTTGGATTATCTTTCATTTGCAAAATGTTGAAAATAACTGTTTTTGCATTTCAAAAAAATCGATTTTATTTTTCTTGAAATGAAACTTTTCAAAAAAGGGCACAAAAGAAAACCGTCACCATACGTTTATAATATTAAAAATAAATTGTGTGTTGTCTTGTATATCGGACTTGTTGTATGAACAACTATGGCTGTACAATTACAGGAGGAGGGGAGGTTAGGAGATAGATCTCGCCTTGGTGGTTTTTCCACCCTGTAAATATTGTAAGAAAAATTACAAAAATGTAGGTACCCCTATCTCATTGTATTTCACATTTGCATTTTGCTCTGCTGCCGCCGAAATTCCGTGACAAGCAGGCTGTACAGTCGTAAATGTGTTATATAAAAACAAAATATTTAATTTATTTTAGACTAAAATACCTATGTGATAATACCTATTGTATATTATTTATATATTAGAATTGAACTGTATTATAGCAGTATACTGTTGTATGATTGGTTTGAAACAACATTTGTATTTTTAGATGAAACGTTAGCAGATTGTAATTAATATTTAATTGTATTACATATTTACGTATAATCATTATTATATTTATTTTTAACTTAGTAAATAACACCTAGTGACTAGTGTAATAGTAACCAATGCCCGCAAGTGTTTGACTAAATAAATATTAAATGATAAAATATTATTTTATGTTATGTGTTTACCACAGAGCAATTATGATACAACTCACAACTGTGTAATCATATTATCCCTATTCCCTATATAAACTGTTATACTCAGAGTAGTACTTACTGGCTTCTATTTTGATCTTATTCAGTCTGAATGTAGAATTTCGTGTACTAGTGTAGTAGTGTACTACAGAGGTTTTTAAACTGTACTCTGTATTGCTCTAAGGCCTCGTAATACTGTGGACTGCCGCGGTCTGCGATAGTAATGTGGGGGGAGGGCTCCCTAGTCCCTGGACATATTATCTGAATTAAACTAAAATAAAGTAATATTTAGTTTATCATGTTTATTTCTATTAATAATAACCCGTATATTTTGTTTTGTAATAAAAAAAGATGCGAATTGGTTGAAGGATAATATATATTATACAGATTACTAAAGAACAAAGCAAATATTTTATGCAACATTTTTATCAGAATTAAAAAATGTTTGGGGATCTGTAGAGTTTTCTTTATAAAATATGTGTTCAATAAACACAAACAAGTTTGAGGGCCACTGCTATGCAGTATATTATCGTAGGAAAGTATCGGAAACTTTAGAGGTGGCGTGGGGGCCGTAGGGGCAGGCACGTAGGCGGAAAATATTCGATTGGGTGGCTCAATTTTTTTCGGTCCATAATGCATAAAAACAATGGCTTTATTGTAGGGGGGCATCCCTACAGCCCCTACATTTTACTAGGGTTCAAAAGTATCATTTACTCTTCCTCTTATAAGAATTAATACATTTTTATTGATACATTATAAATTATAATTATACCCAGTTACTTACTATTATTATTATTTTTTCAATTTTCTTGAAAAATAAAAATGTGTTGATATTTAGTTATTTTTTGATTTATGAAACCAAATTGTAAATACAAATTAACTAATTGAAACAAAGTGTTGCAATACCACATCAATGTACATGATAAAAATTAAACAAAATAGTTAATATTATTTAGCAATTTTTTTAATATTACAAAATTCTTATGAATCAATATTGCATCCTATAATTTTTAAAACAAAAGTAAATAATATTCTTAGATAACTACCTATTCTCAATGTTTATTATTGTTCGTCAAATCAACAAAAAGTTAGCTTTCTAGGGTTGAATACAATTATGTAATTCAACTTTTAAATATTTATAAACTTATGTTTTTTATATGATTTACAGAGATAAAATTATGGGTAGTCCACCAAGAGCATGGGAAAATAATGAGGACATTATGGAAGTAGAAAATTTGTATAGTGCTTTTTTTGCAAGAGATAATATAGATATTTTAAATGGTAAGAATAGTTATATTTTAATTATTACTGTAATTATTACAATCGTCGTATGTACCAGATGTACCAGATATTTTGGCTGCTGGTCTAAGAATTACTTCACGGTTTAATCCTCCACCAGAACCAATACCTCCAGTACCACCTGCGATTCCACTAAATTTGGTCAATATTCCAACTGTAGATTTAGATGCAGAAGATTCAGTATCTGATGCAGCTGATGAAGATTATGAAGATTATGATGCTTATGAAGATGATGAAGTTAGTGTATCTTTTATGTTGTATAGTTATATTAAATGTAGTTTTATATTTACATACTTAAGCTATTAAAATGTCATCAATTTAGTTTAAAAAATAATATGGATGAGAAATAGGTAGGTACATTTTTTGTTATTGAAGATGTTAGTATATATTTTTTTATATTAAATTTCAAAGAATCAAGAATTTTTAACTTTTCTTTCATCATAAGACTCAACTTTTATTATTACAATATTACCTTAGTATTTATTGTAAGTTAATCATCATAACAAATCATTAATTTTTATTCAGGATTCTCGTTCATCAAGTGCAATCATGATGTCAATTAATCGAACAACTCCAAGACCAGGAAGATTTTCAGAATCTTCAAATGACTCTTCTGAAGAATCTTTAATAGGATTTCCTATAGATCCTCCAGCAGGATCCCCAGTAGGATTTCCTATAGAATCTCCAATGGATTCTCTAGCAACATCTCCAGAAACATCTCCAGAATCATCTGTAGTTGGATCTCCAGTTGGATCTCGGGCTACATCTCCAGTGGGATCTCGCGCCACATCTCCAACTAGATGCCCAGCAACAACTTCAGCAACATCTTTAAAACGAGCCTATGATACTCTTGAAGACGGTAAAATACACACATTTTCTTAATATTTAGATTATTAAATAATTAATATAGGGTTGTATGCATATTTATTTTTATTTCATTTAATTCCTAGAAAATTCAAAGGCGGACGATGAAGCGTTTTCTTGTTCAATATGTTTAGATACTTTGACTAATACCGGTTTGCATAGACCTGCTTGTTTGAAATGTGGTCATATTTTTGGAGAGAATTGTTTACAAAGATGGATTAAGGTTATTAGTTCAGCAATGATTTTTTTTTGTACACATATTATATATTTTATATTCTCGTATATTAGACTGGATGTAATAGAGATGCAAAAAGATGTCCAACATGTAACAGAAGAGCAAATGTAAAAGATATTAGAGTTTTGTATGCAAAAAATCTAGTAGCAGTTGATACAGCTGAAGTAACTGCTCTTGAACTTAAAGTGGAAAAAGTATGATTAATTAATAAAATATAGTTACCATAGTCTCAACAATAATTTAGCTTTTATTTGATTTAGATTATTAAATCATTTTACATTTATATTAACTATTGTCCTTGTTTCGTTTTTTCTTAGGAAAACCGAGAGAAAAATTTAATGCATTTAGAAGCAGAAAAGTGGAAAGTCAAGGCGACTTATTTAGATAACGAAGTGAAAAGATTAAAAACTATGGTGGATGCAGATCTATTAAATAAACAGGCAGCTGGTCCTACTTCATTACGACAATGTATTAAAAAAATTAATTTGTGCAAGAACTTGGGCTGTAGGGTTATGGCGTACAATAAATATAGTATGATGTTGGTAAGTATTAGTTTGAGTGAATTAATTTTTTTTTAAATGATTGTTAATAATTTAATTATTATCAGGTGGTGTCACAGCATTCTGAGTCTCCATTATTCAATTCACATGTGATCAGAAAATTGAATGGATCAATACTGGAAGCTTCTAAAGAATGTATTTTTGCACACAAGAAGCAAATTCGTGATATGGCGTTCCATCCTTATGAACATAATCTTTTGGCTTCTGTCAGTTTGGATAAATGCATCAGTCTAATGGATGTAAATTGCAATCAGGTTATTTCTTCTGTTGATGGTAATTATATTCATTTTGTTTTAGCTATATATCTCAATATAATTGTATATTATATTATGTTTAAATTTACAGTCAATGAACCGTTATGGTCATGTTGTTGGGCTGGTGACAATACCAACATGTTGGTTGCTGGTGGTCAAATGGGGTCCTTATACTATATCGACCGTAGATATATGAAATTGTTCAATGCTGATCAGTCTCGAAAACTTGGTTGTGTTTCTCTCATTTCCATCCCACCATCGACTTCTCGGGCATTCATTCATGGTGGTTTCATGAAGACCAGAATGGACTATTTGTCTATGTTTGAACAAGAACCTGGAAAAGAATTGTATCGCTACACAGAGACTGAATTGCCTTTGAAAGGACTCTGGACTAATACTTCTTATGACTACAATTCTAATCTCGTTCTGTCATCTGCCAAACCCTGTGGCCCCAACAAGTCTGTCAGACATATTGTGTCTAAGATTGCAGATCACAATACAGAAGGGCCTGTAATTACTCCAGTTGTCACTTTTTATGGTTAGTCATGACAATATTTTATGAAGTATTATTGTACCTCTAAGTAATAATTATTTAATTGTGTTTGTCTTAAATATTTTTAAATATGTTTCTAATTCTTTCAGGCGGAGATAAGGCTACTCAATTGTCCCGCTCATGTTTGGTGCCAACCACCGGTGCATCGTACGAAGACACACTAGCGTGTAGTTTTGATGAAAGATCCAAAACAATCAAAGTGTTCAATGTCAATCAAGGAAACAATACTCACAATTTCCATGTTAAAGAAAACTTTTTGGATTTGTGCCCCTTAACTGGTATGATGAATAGTGGTAGACGAATGTTGGCTGGTTTGTCAGAAAATGCTGTTAGTTTATTCACTGTTTAGAAAAAAAACCGAAGAAAATATTTGTTTTTGTTTGTATATGCATTTATTACTTATAAATTTAAATTAAAGATTTTTCCATGAACAAAATAATTGTTGTGCATTTTGTGCATATACATTTGAATATTTGATTAAACATTGTGCTATCCTATATTGATATATTTTAAACTTAGTTACTTAGTAAGTTTGATGTCTGTTGACTTACAATATTATGTGTTTGCTTTTATAAATATTTTATTGTTATGATTTATTCGCCATTTAGTTTTAATTATATAATTTACATTAAATTTTCAAAACTATTTTACATCTTTAGTCTTATGAATTCATGATTATCCAAAAATAAAATAAAAATGTATCATATTGTAAAAATATTATCAAATCATGATAGTAATATTACTAGAGTATGGATTTTATAGCACTAAAAAACTATAGAAAAAGCTTTTAAAGTAAAGCTTTAAAAATGCTGTATTATTTTATTAATTATTCACTCATTTATAAATTGTACTAAAATTATGAATGATAGTAATTGGGGCTTGTATTCACACAAAGCTACTCAATTTCAAATTCATTAAAAAATTAAAAAATTAAATTAAGTAGTACATAAATCACTTAAAACTGTATAAAGGGGTAACAAAAGAGTGCAGGATTCAAAAACACAAAATAAAATTGTTGACATTTATACTATGCCTATGCATAAATCACATTTATAACTGACAAAGCTTTGTTTTGAACTGACAGAAAAAAGAAAATCACATCAAAATCCATACTCTAAACTTAATTATTTGTGTATTATATTATACTTATATCATTTTAAGATTAAATCATTTTTACAATTTCATAATGTTACGGGACCACGGATTCATAGAAGTTGTACTGTCTATACTAACGTGATTAATGAATGCCGAATGGTGTCCCAGCTTATTATAAAAAGAAACAACTGTAAAATAATTTGGAATCAATTTATTATAATAATATACTAATATAATATCATATAAATGACTTATCAATCTATCCAACACAACAAAAAATGTATAACACTGTTTCTCATCAATACTGGGATCTTTGATCGACTTACGATCCCATTTCCAACAACACAACAGCATTTTCAGATGTACCACAGTAGATTGGTCATGAGCACCTCCACCCACCACACACAACTTGTACAAATACATTAAATTAACTTGTCTATAAACTATCGTTTTACTGTTGGAAATAATCTTAATTTAATTACTAAGCACTCTACCATCTGAATCACTGGCAGAGCCGCATTCAATAATATACTCATACGGTACAATATAATAATCATCATATTGTATTGATATTTGATTTGTGTGTGTCGCAAACTGATATAATAATAATGAGTTTATTTAGTCGGTTCATGAAGAGATTGCAACAATGGGATCTATCTTAGTTTGTGGTATCATTACCTCCCATATAATCTTTTCCTCGTATAACTTGCTAGTTACATCATGAACTTTGTAGGTTTGTCATTCTCTTGACTACAAATGCTCATCATTATTTATTTCTAAAAGTGATAGTATTTATAAGAGTTTTCTTTTTGAAAAGTATCACGGTATAGCAATTCAAAAATTTGGACAACCTTGTGTTTTTTTTGTGAAATTACAACTATTATGTATTAACTCATGATTCTAAAATGATGCCAACCTTTATTTTTATCTCACTGAATATTGATGTAAAATTGTATTAACATTAAGAATTTAGATGAGCGTCTAGTGTATTCCACCTTCTACCACCCCACTTTAATCTCTGATAAAAATTTAAAACGATGTTTTTTTGATTGTGGAACTAAAATTATTATGCATTGACATAATAACAAGAGAAATGTTAATTATTGTGGTTTTACCAACAAATCTCAACATTGTACTATTATTTTTATGTTAGAACTGCTATTATGATTGGCAAAAATAATTCAATATTTTTACAACAGCTAATAACAGGTTGGTTTATAATCTACTTTGAAATATAGAAAAAAACTTACGAAAAGCTGTTCATTGCTATAGCACCTAAAATAATTTGTGTGAATGTGCAGAGTTCATTTTATTTAGCAACAGCCAACAATGTACTTGGCTATTTTTAATTTTTTTTTCAAGGTATTTTCAAGTAAACATCAGCTGCACAATAAGGTAAGTCCATAAAAAAAATGGTGGAAACAAATACAATTTATATTATACGAGTTTATTTTAAAATTTTGTAATAATTAAGTAACAACTTATTTGAGGGATTGATATGTATGTGTTAACCTTAACCATGTATTGCATTAATTCAAATTAAATAAATGATAAAAATAATTATACAATAATTTAACAATCAAACAAACAAAATATACATTTTACGGATAAAAAGAAAAATACTTTAAAAAAAAAATTGAAGTATATATAAAAAGTATATGTATATAAAAATTGCGACATAATATTTACAACAAAATATTTCAGTCAGTCTAGCTCCAACTCTAACAAAAATAAAACAAAATACAACAAAAGTTTAGACCTAGCTATTAGAATGGAATAAATAGTCACATTAAATAAAAGTCTCAAGTGACCATATTTTTTTTTATGTTTATGGCCAAACTAGGTACGCAATTTTTGGGGTTACAATTCCCATGATCACACTCGATATCAGGTTGACACTGTGATTATCCAATATTCTTCTCCCAGATATGTGTACAATGTCTTTTCCAGGGTGTTCCACTATTGCTCCTGTTTTTCGATTAAAACCTGAATAAAATTGTACACAAACAAGTCATTAATGATTAATAGGCAACAATAATATATTTGTAAACAAAATATTTTACAGTTTAATATGTATTAATATTAGAGTATCTAGGCTTTAATGGCAGTTTTTAATTATTTAGGGTACAATTATACAGCTGTTCAGTCATTCAAAATAATTCATCGTTGCTTGGCACTTGGCCTCCTAAATCCTAGGGCAGCAGTTGCCAATTTTTTAACCTCACAGACCACTAAAGCCATAATTCCAAATTCTACGGACAACTATAAGGTAAATAGTGTTAACACCACAAGTCTTATAGTTTATTATATAGTTGATTTTGTAATATCAACTTGTAACTACCTATATATATTAATATATAATAAATATTTAATTATTATTCAGCACACAGACCGCACGGTTATGTGTAATATGGTGACACTGTAATTGTATCTTATTTAGTACCTTACATTTTTCACAACAATTACGATTTATTATAATAATATAAAGATAATATATTAAGATATTGTATGTTTAAAATTATTTTTTTGAAAATGCAATACAAGGATGAATAGTTTTTTTTTAAACGTTTTAATTAATAATTATTTAGTTACAAATTGATATAATTAAATTAAATATATAATAATACAACCTTATGCTCAAATAATATTTGGTTGTTTTCTGTCTATTTGCTTATATAAGTTGTTGACAATGGTCGGCTGTTCTATATTTTACTATCCATGTATCTATGGACAGATGTCCAGACCCAGCGAATAAAATACACAAAATTAAGGTATTCGGTAACCTAATATTAATATTTTTTCTTGTACTAGATATTTTTTGTTAATAAAAATATTACATAGTTAATACATGACATTTGTTAAACGAAGATAACTTTAAATAAATTACCAAATTAAAACAACTTTTATCATAACTAAAGATTTAAAAAATAAAAAGTGATAATACAACGAGTAAGAAAATACTCAGAAATATATCAATGCAATTATATAATATTGATGTGTGGATAACTATTTCAGTGAAATATGCTTCTTTGAATCTACAGGATATTTATTCAAAAATCATTAATTATTAGAGAAAAAAAATATAATTACCACTGTATTGTAAGGTGGCACCTAATACTGAATCAACAACGCTGCCAACTAGCCCAGCAAAACCTCCAGCTACTATTATAGGCCACTGTGCAGGACTTCTGGCCAACATGTCTGCATCGATTGTATAGATAAGCATTGCATAATTTGCTAATCCGACTGCCACACCACCCAATAGACTGACAACCAATCCAATGACTGACACACCACCATTTGTACCTAGGCCATAAATTCTACAATTAATAATACTTCAATTTGTTCAAATACTTATCAGTATTAGATATTTAGATAATACAAGTAATATATATTATGAAGCACAACAAAATTACTAGCTCTAAAGAATTACCTTTGGGAACTGGTTTACCAGTTGTTATCAATATGGGTAAGCCTGTGTCCAAGACTGTTGCTAATTCTGAGGCCCAAGTATCACCATTACAACTGGAAAAAGCACCTAAACAACATATAGAAATTTGATTTATATTTTTGATAAGTGAGCTAATAGCTTTAGAAAAATCAAGTTTTACCGAGAATACCAATGGATAACCAAGAAGGCCGATAATAGCGTTTGAAATCAACAGGTAGTTCACCACATCCAACATCTAAAATGTACAAGAGCGCAAGTTGAGTAGCCATGCCTCCATTACACAACACCTGTATCCAGTTTCTTTGACCACCTACGTTTATTTATAAATAACAGAATATTATATTATATACAATTTATAAATCACAAAAACATTTTTGAAATACCTCACCTTCTTTAAAGTCAGGTTCCAATTGTTTTTTAGTTTTGCTACGAAATTTTGTCGCTCTGGAAGATGTAACAAAAAATGTTAGCAAACAAGCCAGAAATCCATAGCTGCTCAATGTCAATACAAAACCAACAACAACACCTGAATAATACCAAAATAAAAATCATGTTGGCTCTATATTTATGGCTTAAGAGTTTAGATCAGCAATTCTCAATCAGTTTAAGGCCACTGCCCCCTATAATGTCATCAAGATTTTTGTTGACTCTTTGGTTACGATAACTATACAAAACACTTCCAAGTTATTTTAAGTATAGTTTACCATAAAAATTATATTAGCAACCCCCCAAGTTGAGAATAATTAGTTGAGACTATATTATAGACTATAGAGTACTTGACAATAATACTAACCTAATAGTGCTCCACTTAGGTTTAAACTACGTTTGGTGTATCCCCACACAGCAATAAATAGTGGAATGAAAGTGGATATAAACCACCGCAGAGGTGGAAGTCCTTCTAAAAATTGTAAAAATATCTAATTAATAAAATATAATTGAGTTAATTTATGTTTTATACTCTATTCAGAATAGAAAGGTATCAGACAGAGACCGGTTTTTGTTGGTGGCAGTCAGATGTTTCTTCCACCAACGCTGGCATGCTCATTCAGTATCTTTCTTATTATAAATAGAATATAAATATAAATATAAATACTTTTAATAAGAATAAATATAATAATAAAAAAGTTCTGACCCTTTCACTGCTGTTGACATACTACTACGCTCATGTGTTTTATAATATTATCATTTGCTGGTAAATATGCAATTGTATGAAACCCAGGCCCTCATTATTTTAAGCTTAAATAAATAGATCACATAGCTTTCAAAATTAAAATAAAAAATAATTATATGTAGTCTACTAGGTTGCAGAGTATAGTAAAGAGTAGCAGTGAAAAGGTTAATATTATGATTAAATAAAGTGACTAGTATTCTAGCATCTAGTCATGTTCAAATATTTACTTAAAAAGACATGATATGAAATATTACCCAAAATTTCAATAAAATACTTAACTATAGAACTTTGGTTAAAATTGTTAAATTGTTATGCTTATTAGTTAATGAATTTACCATCTAGTTCATTTACATTATCGCCATAAAATTTTCGGAACAAAATATTGCTAATCCATAAGATCATTGACAATGGAATAGAAACCATAGTTAAAGCAACTGATATGGTTGGCTTTGAAACATTCATTTCTTCAGAATCACTTTTAATGTTGGCCATGTTGATGAAAGTGAAAAATTGTTCTTGTACACTAAAACAAAAAACACTAGTTAATATATTGTTAAAAACAAACTACCAAGCCACCAAGGTATCTACTTTAGAAACAACTACATTGTCAACAGTAATAACACCATGCTTTACAACAATATAATTATGTAACATGAAAATTAAGTTTGTAGGCTGATTGTATTAGTTGAGTTCAATTAATTTATTAAATAATCATTAACAACTTAGATAAAGTTAATATAGAATGATATCTAATATCTTTAGTATTATTATTGTTCAGTTTTTAATTATTTTTGCACAAAAACCCACTTTTGGAAACAGTTTAATTGCTATCTGTTTACAATTATTGTTATAGTCAAAATATTGATTAATTACAACAGTTAGAACTTATAAAGTAGCATAGTTATCTTTATTTTGGGAAATGCTAAAGGTTACTTAAAAAATACATGGGTAAATTTACAAAATAAAAATTAATAATGAATAGTAGGACAAACTATAGAAACAGTTTTGAATGTACTTTTTTTCTTGTTTTTTAATTTTCTAATGAACTACAAGGGATGCTTAGTTTATAGAGCATACCTATTCCAATTTATTTAAGGTAACTTTTAAGTCTTAATGAATTGTTATAAACAATATAGACCTATGTATCATGTAAAAACCAACATATGCGCACACAAATCCTGTCAAATCATAGTACTTAAATACAACTAATTACCTTTCACAATACTTAAAATATTAATCAACTATCATTACACAAAATTATTGTTATAGAAGGATTGACATTTGTTTTTCTTATAGTATATAATTAGATTATTATTTATTTAATTATGTACAGACATAACAACAATAGCTAGTTGTAAGTATTGAAGCTTATAACAGCCAATCAGAATTGATACATTTATAATTTCAGTTAATTGTGGTGGTTAATTAATCCCAATACCTAATGACATTGATCTAAAGTACATTGTACGTGGGCATACAATTTAAAACGAATAGAATATAAATTAAAGGTAAATCCACCATGAGACGTTATGTAGGTAACTATACAATATTATGATATGAATTGTGAACACATTTTACTACGTTACCGATAGTAGGTACGTTTTAAAAGAAAAACATTACATTTTTTGATAAGTTTTAGCACGAATCATGTTATAACACTTCAAGAACATCGGCAACTTTTCCACAACAATTCTTTAGTCACAACCAACAATAAAAACGTTCAAATTATAGGTAAGCACCTATTTTTCTGCGGGGAGGGGAGGAGTAAGTAAGTTGTAGTCAACTGATCGGCAAAAAAAGAACGGTCAAAGTCGAGTGGTCGACGTGTGTAAGAGACGATGGACGGGGAGATATGGTTATTAAATTTAAATATAAATTAAAAACTGTAGCTCAAACGAGATAATCATAACCTAGAGGAATCATTATCAAAATTCAAAACTATTTAAAATTCGTGATCCGTGACATGGTTATTATATATTACTACAAATTACAATATAGAAGCGATATAATAAATCTAAACTTTGAACGTACATGAGCGGCGAACCGTCTATAGACGTAATCACACTAGACAGTTGCAAATGTTGCAATGTTGTTAACTACTAACTTGTATTACTCGCACAATCGCACTATTTATAGGTACCTATAAAGAATTTATGAGATATTGGCGACGGAATGACGGACGGAGAGCCGATCTAGGCGGGCTACTGGCTGCTTTATCACTATCAGCATTCAGCTATCACTACCGACAGCTCAGCTGCAGTCAGCAGCAAATAAATACGTCATAATAATATTATTATTTATTAATTTTTTCATAATCTATTGAACCGTTATCGCGTTATCAGTGTCTTCGCTAAACAGCTGCTATTGGCCGAGATAACACTGTTTATTTTGGTATTGCCAAATTTGGAGTGTTTGTCCGCGTAGTCGCAGCAGTAAATAAGCAATACAGTATTACAGTCATAGTGCGTAGGATTTCCAGCATCCGCCTGGCTATTCGCACCGAACTAGGCCAATTTCCTGTTGCGATTCCCGTCTGCGTGTCCAGTTTTCGTTGACATACGCGATGGAAGACATATTTCAGTGGTGTCGGGAAGGCATCGCCATGCAAGTGCGGGTTTGGCTCGATGACACCGAACATGACATGAACCACGGGTGAGTTAAATTTTGTACATGCCGCCGTGGTAAGGTGGGTGGAATGTTTTTGGTCACCAGATGTTTTCACCCTTCCCTTTACGTTTCCAGAGATGATCACGGATTCAGCCCGTTGCACTGGGCTGCCAAAGAGGGCCATCTGAAAATTGTTGAGATGCTGGTGCAAAGAGGTGCACGCATAAATTCCACGAATCGAGGCGATGACACGCCTCTGCACTTGGCCGCGGCGCACGGTCACCATGAAATCGTTCATCTGGTGTGTGTCATTTTTGTTACCTCTCCACTTTTCTCTGTTTGATTTTAATATAATGCACTATAGCTAACATCGCCTTTCCTTGTGTTGTAGTTGTTGAAAAACCGAGCAGACATTAATTTCACAAACGAACACGGTAACACTCCGTTACACTACGCTTGCTTCTGGGGCTATGAAGCAATAGCTGAAGAACTCATTGAAAACGGTGCATTGGCTGCTTTGGCCAACAAAGATGGAGATACTCCGCTAGACAAGGGAAAAGGACCAATTTTAAAACATTTAAAAGGTATTGCTTACTTGGTGGAAAAGTTTTTTTTTCTGTTTCTAACTTTCTTTACCGATAATGATATAAATTATAAAAATTATTACAGATTTAGCTTTGCAATCTGGACAAGATCTTACTAAAATCAATTTCAAAGATCAAAGTTGGTTAGGTTTGAAAACAAGAAGCAGTAAGTTAATTTATTATATCAATTGTTAAGTATAAAATATTTTTATACTGTCATAAATTTAAAATAAGTTATGTGTTGTATTAAGTGTACCTATATTATAATTTTATAATATGATATAGAGCTTTATTATAAAAGTTATTTGGTGATCATCTGGTACTTTTGAAGTGTTTAAAGTTTCATTTATTTTATGTTATCTTTGTAAATGTATACCCAATTATTTTATTAATTGTTTAGGAGATGCTACATTATCACGCCATAAAGGAATAAACTTGAGTGATCTTTACTTGCACACAAAAATGGCTACTTCCCCCAGTGGAGAAACATGGCGTGGTCATTGGCAGAAGAATGACATTGTCGCTAAAGTGTTGGCTGTTCGACAATGTACCCCTCGAATTTCGAGGGATTTTAATGAAGAATTCCCAAAACTAAGGTGACAATTATTGAATTGATTGTTTACTTTCACGCAGTTTTAATAACTTAATTATCTGTTTTATTGTAGAATATTCTCACACCCAAATGTGTTGCCAGTGATAGGATGTTGTAACTCCCCTCCCAATTTGGTGGTTATTAGTCAGTATATGCCTTGGGGCTCGCTTCATACTTTATTGCACGAAGGAGCCAGAGTTACAGTGGACACAGCCTTAGCACTTAGACTTGCAGTAGATGTTTCTAGGGCCATGGCGTTTTTGCATAGTCTGGAAAGGATTATACCACAATTTCATCTGAATAGTCATCATATCATGGTATATTTAATTTTTAAATATTTTTGTTTAATTAAATTTCATGTGCAGTTATTATGTTAATCTATAGATTGACGAGGATCTTACAGCTAGAATAAATATGGCAGATGCTAAATTTTCATTCCAAGAAAAAGCAAGAGTATACTACCCTGGATGGATGTCTCCTGAGGGTAAATATTTGAATTAAATTAAATTTTTTGTGACATTTAAAATATACTAAGTATAATGACATTATTGTAAAAGTGAATTTAAAAATTTTTTACATGTATTATTTTTTGTTTTCAGCTTTACAAAAAAAGCGAATTGATACCAATTCAGAAGCATGTGACATGTGGAGTTTTGCAATTCTTCTATGGGAATTAGCTACTCGTGAAGTTCCATTTTCTCACTTGTCACCAATGGAAATAGGGATGAAGGTATCTTACGATTTTTTATTTATGTTATAAAATATACTTAACTAACAGTTATATTTTTAGGTGGCTTTGGAGGGTTTAAGAGTGTCTATTCCATCTGATATTTCTCCACATCTCACCAAACTGATTAAAATATGTATGAATGAGGATCCAGGCAAGAGGCCAACTTTTGATATGGTGCTTCCAATTTTGGATAAAATGAAAAGATAATAAAAAGTAACAAAATTCTTCAGAGCTATAGCGGAAGAAGAAATCTTAACATAGTAGGTCACTAACTTTTACACAAAAGTATTTATTTCAAAACCGATACATCTCAAATGGTTACAAATTTAATAAAACAGAATAGGTCAGTAAATTTTACACAAAAGTATTTATTTCAAAACCAATGTATTTCAAGTAGTTACAAATTATATTTTTATATAATACACATATTTGTTATTTTGTTAGAAAGTTCATCATTTGATTTTTATTATAATTTACTTTTTATAAACTAAAATCAGTTGAAATCAATATTAATATTTTATTTAAAAAATGTAGATATTTCAATGTTAGAATGTTACAGCATAATAATATTAATACTTTTGGACTACTATAATATTCCAGCGTGAGCTTCCTGTATTATGCAGACTAATAAAGACTTTGAAGTTGACTATTTATTAACATTAGGTAATAACTAATTAGTAATTAATTATTAAATATATTATGTTTTTAATAAGCAAACTCGTTACAACACTGTATTTTTGTTTCAGAGTTGAACAGGTATATTTTTTTCTCTTACTGATCTACTGAACAATTTAAATACATTTAATAATGCAGCTATAATACAATTTTGTGAACTGTCTAGTAAATAATGTTCATATAGTTTAATATACACACCCTCTGGGCATAATAAGTTTCCATTATAAACTAAATCTGTTCTAGTTGTCTATTATAGATGCAGTAGATAATAACAAAACTAAAATAGATTATTGCCCAGAGGTATATAATCTTGCTAAGTGGTTTTAATATCATGTATGCCCAACATCCTAATTATCACAGCTGTAACATACAACATTTAATTAAAAGTTTATTATAATGTTTCATGTCAAAGTAACCACTACAATTCCTAAAGTTTAGTGGGACTGAAATAAGTTCATTAAATCTATTTGAATTTTTGTTTAGATGATTAGGTATCATGGAGGGAAAAATTATCCGTGTTTTACTCTGGTAGAATACAATTTGTGTAATTAGGAATTAATATGAGCTTACATTTTGTATACTTAACTTGTTTTTTACAATAACATATGATTAATTTTAGTTTTGTTAAACTGTAACAATTTATATTAGATTTAAATATATATTTTAAAAATTAATATTTTTGTTGAATATGCATAATATATTCTATATAGCCGATGGCAGATTTTGTCAATTATTGTTAATGTTATGCGTTATGCAGTTATGCAGCTATGCACAAACGAATTATTCCACGATGGTAAATACATTGCGTGCCTTATTATACAGTTTATTAAAATAAATTATTGAACCGCTAATAATTGTAAAATTATAATAATAAAAAATATATTGTATTACTAATCGAAATATGTTGTTGATTTTGTTAGCCAACCTTCCCATAATATTGTTGCCGACATTGCCGTTCCTGCAGTTAGGTTCGGACCATAATTAAAGATATAGGTACATAATAATCATATCTTTAATCATGGTATTCATATGGTGACAATTTGCCAGGTTGGTAGAAAGGTGATTAAACGATTGAAGCAAATATTCTATATTATAAGTAGGTACCTATTTCATTAAAATTGTAAGATATTATTGTGAGTTGTCACATAATGCTATTTAAATAATACCATATAAGTAAAACACATTTTATGTTAATTTATTGTTAGAGTTCATTTATTTTACACCAGGTATGTAATATACTAATATGTATCTATCCGCTATCTACCTCTATAGTACCTATAATACTGTAACAATTTACAGATTACTGAAGTGTTATTTTGTTATTTTTTATTTTGTCCCATTTGCATAGGCTAACAAGAGCACAGGAACGTTTTTGTATTTACATATAATTAAATTATGAAGGTAACTAATTGTTATAGGTAGATATTCTTTTTTTAAGCTACCTATTCTAATTTCTAAATAAATCACTAGAAAAAAATGTTTAGTGCAAATTATACAGTTTAATGTGCACAAGTGCACAAATGTAGTGATTTTTTAGAGCTACAAGTTTCTGCCCTTATGATTATGAATGGACAATAATGATCGTGAGGGTTAGTTCTTCTAAGGGTTCGAAAAAGTAAATACAACATGTACAATTGGTCAATTTTCATTGATTTTTTAGCGAGAGGCACAAAGCTCTTCACCGGCCAGCATCCTGCAAACGTTCGGTTTGGTATTCGGGCCTCGGCTTAAATCTAGTCGACATGTAGGGTCTGGGTAGGTAATCGGTGGTTGAGCAGCTCGTAGTTTAGTCGTTGGTACCCGAAGCCAATGATGCCTGGGTGCCAATTTGTTTATTTCTACGTACCTGCATATATTTTTTTTAAAGTATTCTAATGTAGGGAGGGCACAGATTACAATTTATTGATAACTCTGGAACAAATTCACTTCAGCTACCCACCATTATTTTTGATGTCCAGCCCTTTAAAATAGTCTAATATGGGCCTCAAATTACAAGGAAATAGGTGGTATAATTAGGATTTAATATGAGCTTACATTTTGAATAGGTAGGTACTTAACTTGTTTTTTACAATAACATAGGTACCTATTGTGATTAATTTTAGTTTTGTTATGCTGTAACAATTTATATTAGATTTAAATATATATTTTAAAAATCAATATTTTTGTTGAATATGCATAATATATTCTATACAGCCGATGGCAGTTTTTGTCAATTATTGTTAATGCTATGCCTCATGCAGTTGTATACAAACGAATTATTCCTCGATGGCAAACACATCGCGATCGCGTGCCTTATTATACTTATACAGTTTGTTAAAATAAATTATCGTACTGCTAATAATTGTAAAATAATAATAATATAAAATACCTATAATATGTATTACTAATCGAAATATGTTGTTGATTTTGATAGCCAACCTTCCCATTTTACTGTTGCCGTTCTTGCAGTTCAGTGCAATCGAACATATCATCAATGTACCCTTGGGGATGATATTATTGCAATTGTGTGTTTAAATATTTAACGAGTGAAACACACACCCACACTGAATATTACAATTTAAAATATTAAACACGCTAATCCGCTTCGTCAGAGACTCTTCAAGTGCTCAAACGTATTTTTCACTACTTCACATAGGTAGTACCTACTTACGTATTTTATATTTTTATGTTACGCAAGAGACACACCGTTGAAACCAAATGCATACGAGAAAAAACGAAAACGAGCAGCTGGAAAACCTGCTCAGCCAATATTTTAAAACGGTACGTTTTGTTTTCCAATATCCACATAGGAAGTATTATAGTACTATAGTATATGATTCAGTGTTGTGCGTTATCTAGATAATATATAGTTATCTAAATAAAAATATTTATCTTTTTAGTATGAATTGTTTGCTGTTGTAGGCAAGTTCATTCATAGGTGAACGGAGTGAGGAAAGCTAAGCCATTCCCCCCCTGGCTTTTCGGAATTTTTTTTTAAATTGAGAAAATGTGAAGAAAATCGCCACATTCTGTTACGTTTTCACCGGATTTGAACCAGTCGTACCTAACTATCTTCGGTTTCTTACACAACGTGACTGTCAGAAAAGCGCTTTGGAATTTCCGAATAGGTTGTGGAATGGTAAAATATGTTAACAATAGGTATGTCATAAATAAACGTCAGACAGAGATTAAGACGTGACGGGAATATCGCGTTGAATTTCAGAAGCTATAATTTATAAACCTATAATATAACCTAAATCTTAAGGTCCAATCGAGACGGGCAATTTTAACAAGCCTGCAGCAGAATTAAAGTTTTTTCGCCAGTTAACGACCTGTGACTAAAGTATCTGGTAATCTGATCCGTTTAACTGCGACACTGGTGATGATTTTTTAAGTACCAAATTTGATCTCGACTTTTAAATCACAAAAATTGACTATTAACACTTCAGTTTCCGTTTAGTTTCTAAATAGGCTGCAATATTCGCTCACCATCAAGGTCCGTGTTCTTTAAGTTATAGATAATTAAAACAAAATATAATGATGCGTGCACTGTCATTCAATGTTCGCCTAATAGCTAATATACATAACATATACCTCATACATACTTCAGGGTAGGCCCAAGGGGGGGGGGGGGTCGTTGGACCTGGAGTACAGGATATAGCACCCAATATTTTAATGACCCATTGGAATGCATTTGGTAATTTTTGAAATTTTGATAGGTATATTAATAATATTTTATGAAAATAATATATTAATATAATATAATATATTAAACTGGGGGTTAACCATTGATTATATATTTATACTTAGAAATTATCACATATGTGACACCCGCACTGCTAGTAATGGGTTGTATTTTATTATTGTAAAACTATTATTATTGGCTCATAAAAACATTTAGTACGGTTGCCCAAAATTTGATGCTGGTAGCACTGCTACCGTGCCTGGTAGTCTGAGTATATATTATACAACTGATTAAAAATATCAAAAAGGCAGCTCAAACGTTCGTATTAATTTATCATCGTTACGAATCGAACAAAGCTAATTGCTTAAGGTGAACTTTTACTGCCGATAGTTGGTTTTTTCGAATAATCTATAGTTAGGGCAAATGAGAAGATCAATTTAATTAAATTTTCAAAATATGCGAGTGAATTCTACGCCTATATTGGTTGTATGAGTGTCTAATACCTATTGTCTATATACCTACATGAATATACGTATATAATTCAGTTGAGGTATTTTTTAATTTGTTTGAAAAATAGTTAATTTAAATATTTTGAGTCACGTCACTTGTATTTTGTGTAAGCAAAATTCAATAAACGAATGCAATTCGTGCCAAATTCGGTCAAAAATCGTTTCATCCTGTTCCCATCCTACTATTTATAATTGTAAGTTCTTATTAAATTATGGGAACCGGGAAGAGGAAGACCAAGACAATCTTATATGAAGCAGATTTAGGGAAAGTTTCTTATAAATACTAAGTTTTTGTACATATAGTGAGGTGGAACATTTCATCATGAATGCGGATTGTTAAAAAAAATATTGTGATGCACGTCGGTATTGGGTTTTTTGTACAAAATACTACCTGGTAATTTTGCTACTTTAAAAATTGTTTTGTTACAATAATTAATGAATACAATTATATAGAAGGTTCATATTATTCATATTATTATGTTTTAATAATGCAAACGAAATGACTATATATGAGCATAATAGTAGGTAAGTACCTACCTATTATAGATAGTTATAACGACCAAAAAGTTTTTTCAGGTAAGTGAGGCACGTTTGTGTTATCATAATCAATATTGTTATTTTATTCCGACTGGGATTAATTAAAAAAATAAAATGTCCGATACAATCCGAATGTATATTATTCAATCCAATTTGTTAAGCAAACATAATATTTTGTTACGAAGTTTTTTGTTTGAACGATATTAGCTGAACAAAAACGATGACAGAGATTAAAAACAAATCAATTGTCTATGAAAAAAAATATTATGTAAAATACATTATACAATCGAACATCATAATAATATTATATAACGGTATTTATTACGACACAATAAAGTGCTAATTTATTGTGGTTTTTTGTTTGTTTTTCATTTTGTTTAAAGTCACCTTAAAGTTTCAACAATTGTAGACCTAAACTGATTATATAAGTATGGTACATAACTTATATTACCGATGCCGGATTGCACTTAACATTTAATGAATCAATAGTGAGCTAATGGTCCCTTAAACAAGATTTAGTGGCCCATGATAAGTACATTCAATTTTAGTTAACCATTAATAGTCAATCAATTCTTATGCAATACGGCAATAATACATTACATTTTCATTATTAAAAAACACTTTTTAATTATTATAATAATAAAAAACAATCATCGGATTTCATTTACGTAGGCTTACCTAGGTATGTGTAATGAATATTATTATTATTAGGTATCATTATTTACATAATATTATTGAATCTTAATAATAATATTATGTTTATCTGTCTGTAGAGATCATTTTTTCCGTATGGAGCCGTCAAAGATAACAAGTCATCGACGTACCAAGAAAATAGTCTCGTGCACCAGAAATATAACAAACCCAAATCGCCCACGTTTGAGTTTAAGACGTTTTGCTCCATGACTAGCTTGCACGGCTTCTTTCATTTTGTGGAAAACAATTTTAATAAGATTGGAAAGTAAGCTAATAATAATTGCAATGTCCTATAATGATCTGTAAAAGCTTACATTATAATATCATTATGTGATAAGGATAACCTACTCGTACTTTGTCGATACCTACCCGCAGGCCGCAGCTGCTTAATTTGGTTTCCATTATAGATGTTAAGCTGAGCGATTTGATGGTATTGATTTTATAGTGTTTGTGTGTGTGTTTTTTTTGTGTTTGTCTGTAATCACGTCTTGAATTAGTAAAAATGGTCCGATTTTCTTCAACGTCATCTTTTTCGATTGGAAAATTAATCTAATTGGCACTTTTTGAAGGTGAAAAATTCCTAATAATTTTGAAAAGCGTCAAGAAAAACAAACAAAAAATTAAGGAAAATCTAAGATTTTATAATGGATTTTGGAAATTTGAAATTTTTTAGTAGAAACATTTTTAGTTTTCGTTCTGTGTGGAAAGAATTAAATTTTCTAAAACCTATCGTACAAAATTTACGCTAGTGGACGTGGAAAAATAAACCTACCGATATCATATTTTAATTCCATATTATATTATTGTAAACATATTCATATAAATATATAATAATAAATTAATAACAATATACATCACAAATATGCTTTATTCACGCTGTAGGTACAGAATTATATTTTGACAACCGACTTTATAATAATAACAATTCTCGTAAATTATAATCCAACTGTACCTATTTATCTACCCTTATGGTGCGGATGGTGCGGGGAGATAAAAATTGTTTATTATATCATTATAGTATTATTTTCTGTTTCAATTGCATGTTCAAGAATAACGAAATATTCAGTCCAGAAAAAACTTGAGTTCGATCGAATGAATATACAATAATAATAATATATATGTACAGGTAATTAAAAACGAGAAAGAGTCTGCAACTTTACTGATAATACTAAACGAGCGGAGTTTTTGTTTTCCACAATTTTGTATCTGTTTTTTTTTATTTTTTTTACTCCAAGTTCGTTACAGTTATGAAATTGAAAAATAATATAAAATCATATTGTATAAAAAAAAAACTTACTTGACCTCCCGGTACCTAACAGTTTTGATTGACACACGTTTTCACCAAAGCGGACCTCAGTTTACGGGGGTGACGTGTCTGCAAGTACATCAATATATAATTAATACAGGGTGATACTCCAAGCGCATACTCATCTCCATTTTTTCGTTTAACAATGCGCTTATCCAAATTCTGATGAAGTACCATCATTTCATACGTACTTAATTGTTTATAAAATTTAAAGAGCATATAGGTACAAATATTTTTGTTTTGAGACGAGCACCTATCTTATTTAGTTTAGGTGTCTAATTGTTATTAAACTTCATAATTACCATAACAACAATATAATTAGTTTAATTATTTATACCTATACCTACTATAATATTCTTGATGAATGGACTTATTGATCCTCCTTCTTTGATCTCTCAAGTCATATTTAAAGTTCCTTCCCGTTTCACATGACTTTATATTCCTTTCATTGTTCCAATTCATTACCAAAAATTACGGATGTAATAAATAACAATCTTGTGCAATGCATTTTTTAAATTTTGTATTGAACTAAAGCATAGCAACTATGGCCATTAGCTGTGTGTAGGGGGGACGGTTGGTTTTAGATCAAGTATTGTATGTGTGGCAGGGATTTTATTACTAAAAATTCCGGGTGGTCACCCATCCGGGAGCTAGCAACGCCGGCCAGTACGTACATTCAGAGCGTTTCCGCAGATCGACAGCGCCTCACCAAGCCTCTGGTTTTTATTTATACTTACTCTTACCAAGAGTATCTATTATATCTATTGATGAATATTATTTTTGTATCTAAACGTTTTGTTTATTATTTTATGTACTTTATCAAATTTATCAATATTTTACTGACTTACTGTACTATATTATATCTATTATATCTATAAAGGGATGCATGCCTGTCAAATAAATAATTACCTAAGGGATGTTTTATTGTACCTACCTACTAAAAATTCTAAAAAATCTGAACTTTAATAAATTCATTATTTAAGGAAAAAATAGGAGTGAACATTCTCAACGAATCACCCTGTAAACCTATTATCAATCTATATGCATGTTGCATATTTTATTCATTATTGTATACATTATATTAGGTTTAGGAATATTGACGTCGATGTTTGATGTGAGTATGACGCATCAATGATGACAAAAATTTAAAATTTAATCGGAATTATTAAGTATTTTCTTCGGTATACTTTTTAAAAATCCGCATCGGCCGATTTACAATTATTCACGATTCCAAGTTTTGAAAAACAATTTTAATTACCTTGAAAAATGTCTATAAAATCGTAATTTTTACCAAATAAACTTTATTTTATGAACTTAAATCAATCTTTTTAAACGTATATATTTATCTTTTAATATGAATATTTTGCGCTGGTTAATGGTTAAACATATTATTATATATACGCTTGAATACCTTCATATTATGCTTATGAAATATACCTATTATGTAGATATTGTAGTACCCATAAACACTTATAATATCGTGAAATTTACCTGCAATCCTATACCGACACTATAATAAACCGTTATCATTAAAATATTATGAGTAATGAGGAATTCAGCTCAAAGAATTAGCGAAGTTATTTGGTACAACGATAACGTGTTATATTGTTTACTTTTCGTGCTAGACTTTCGAATAAAAGGTGGTTTTGTGTGCAGTGTAGAAACTAAAAAAAAAAGTTTTATTGTGGAAATCAAACTCGAGCTTCGTGCCGTGTATTCGCATATACTACTGCATCAGTACCATTTCCATATTATATTTTCTTGCAATCGAATAATGGATTTGCGTTAAAAGCGTGCAACGAAAACAACGAAATGTATAATATAGGTACATTAAATAGTAAATACATACATATAGGTATATACGAGATGACTAGATGAAAAAATTCGGGAAATAGGTCAAATCAGGGGCGAGTTTTATGGAATATATTATTCATTTATTCCCGTGCGCGATTGTCATATAAAGTATACACAGTGTGTATATGCAATCATCCGGTTCGTTTTCTCTAGATATTACCCAGCTTATACTGTATATATGTTTTCGACCAATTTATAGTTTGAGAACGCTAGCTGTTGTATATTATGTACATGCATATATAATATACATATTGTATATATGTCATATGTACTGTATTATAGTATATATTTATGTATGTGCACACTTATGTAATAGTCGAACATTCAAGAGTTGTCGTTTGTCCTATGAACCGTGCAATGTCTATAGACACTATATTATATATGTATACATGTTATACACTTATATTATACGGAATACATAATCACGTAATTTTTAGTTTATATGGTTCACAAAATAATGTGTACATATAAAATATAAAATATAGTTACTTTTTCGCACGGCAACTTCATAATATAACATTTTGATATTGAAAAATGTATTGTGTTATTCGTATTCATGCATAATATAACATTTAAAACAATTAAAACATTTTTGAAGAAGAATAATTTAAATGCATATATTATTGTATATAAAAAATAAAACTTTTATAAAAGAATACACATTATACAGATTATATAGGGTAGCCGGTAGGTATATCAAACGTTGTGTGAGAAAAATGGAGAGGACCTATATTCTTTGGAAAGAAGCCAAATGTTTTTTATAGTTTATACCTTAAAAATAATAATAAATACAATTATATTTTTTAAAGATGTTTTATACAATTGTTAAAACACGAAACGCGAACATTAAAAATAAAAAAAAACACATTGAAATGAATACATACACCACTACTACGCATAACCGTAGTCGAATGGAGACTTGAAAATAGTGTTGTTGTCGAGCTCGGACAGATGAGTGTCGTCGAGAGAATAGTTTATGTATATACAGATAAGAACTAAATGACACAATGTACAATATAATATATATTATAATAAAGATTTTGATAGTGTCGCCATTAATTAGAAAAGAGTTAATCATTACAATAGGCAGAGTCAACTGCATCGTAAGCAGATTACCAAAAAATTACTACGACCTCGTAGCTCCATTTATTAACAATAGCACCAAACCCTTGTGAACTTGGCAGCGCAACATTAGCAGCATCGGTCCAAGCAGTCCAACAAATTTGTTAATAAATTGTTGAACATTGTTGGACAACTTTCAACATTTGTCGGACATTATTTTAACTAGGGAACAATTTCAAAGTTTGAGCTTCCAAGTTCACACAAGCTGTGCAACTTTTTATTGCAACATATTTTTGTGCTTAACATGTTTATCTCGATTTGTTGGACATTTTAGGGCAACTTTCAAAATATCCGATACACTATTTAAATAATTTCTTCATCATTTACAGTAAAAATAAACATAACATGAAGTTGGACATTTCGGTATACAACTTATTATTTAATTCTTCATGTGAATTATTTTTGTATACATCATAAAAACTTGGTAACACAAATCCGAATTATTTGTGAAAATCAATATTTTTTTATTAGCAATTTTACTCGTGTAATTATCTTAATCCATATTATTTATTATCATATGTATATCATTATTCAAAATTATTTATGTATTTTAGATTTTGAGCTTATCTAATGAATGTATTGATTTTACAACGATAAGTGTTTTTTTTTCTGTCTGTCATCAACATTAAGGATAGTAAAAATGATCAGATTATCGACATCAGCATCTTTTCTGGTAGAAAGGCAAATATAATTGGTACTTTTGATGGGTCAAAATTGAAAATTCCTTGTAGTTTTTCAAAACATATAAAAAAACAAAATAAAAATTGAAAAAAATGGTATACTTTTTACTCAAAACCAATATTTGATAAAATATATTTTTCTTTTGTAATTATAGAAACCATAATAACTGTAGACACTTGAAGTTTTCGCCAAATATTTATATTAGCATTTCTTATATCTGGTAACATTTTACCATTGTCCATAAAACTTATTTCTGTGTATGTGTAAGCCGGCACCCCTCTTTAAGGTTATAGCTGCAGGTCATACGCCACGATTTTTAGATTCTTTCCACCACTACGGATAGATAAATTACAAGTGAACCTATATACGCTTGAAATACATTGTAACATCTATAGAGTAAAGGATTATATGGTCCTAGAATGACAGATTATATTATATCGTTTCCGATTAATTTAACACGGAATCGCAATATCACATTCTAATCATAGTTTTTTGTACCTATACCTATAATGCCTTAATATTATAAAATATACTGATACCGTAATACTCGTATAATATTTTAAAATTATTTCAGGTTCTTTTGGGCCATTATCTTGGTGGCCATATACATACTATGCGGTGTGTCGATCTACATTTTAATAAGCATGTTCTCCGAGATGCCAGCAATAATATCGTTAGACAACTCGGTTTCGTCTATTTGGGAGATTCCGTTTCCGGCAGTTACGGTGTGCAGTGCGAACAAAGTCCGCCCATCCGTTTATAACTATTCGGATGTTAACAATACCGACTACGAAAACAAGTATTATACGGGATTTCTATACACATATACGCTAACAAAACATATTCGATGGCCATTTGTTTAGTTTTATGTGTTTTTTTCGACAGATTAATTCGGAATACAATGTACGGTGTTTGCGAAAATAAACTAATGAAAAAAAAATTTAAATCGTATGAAGATTTTCTAGACGGTTCCTTTGTTTCGCAAGCTCTAAAGGAAAGTATACCATTATTGTTATTATTGTTAATATTATCCAACTCGTGTAAAGCGTTTTTATTATCCTACAAGTTTTTACACTGTGGTGTATTTATTCAATAGATCATGACATGTGCAGTGTGTATTCGTATCGTATATGTATATACAAAACAAAAACATAAACAATGTGATGAAGAGTTATGACATAATTCAACGATCTTAGCAACCTCTCTATCTATTGTAAACTTTCTCAACTCCCGCCCAATGTTTGCAATTAAGATTTATATTTTACAAAAAAAAACTCAATTATAATTATATGATGAAGTAAAATGCATTTAAAAATTATCAGTTGGTCTTAAAATATTATAATTTTAATCAACTGCGCTATATAGTATAAAATATCTACTCCTAACTATTATGATCAGCTATGATAACATATAGGTAAGTTAAATAATAATAATATATCCTAGTTGAATATGAAGACGTACATACCAACCATCACGAGAGAGGATTTTATTTTCTTCGTTTATAATAATTACATTGGTCTTATTATTGTAGTTGTTCGATATCAATTAGCATACGTAATTGAATTTTGAACTTGTCCGGGTGGCAATAAAAATAATTTATATCCGTTAATAGGTATCTAGGTTAAGTATACCATGATTATACAACTAAATTTATATTGACTTAGGACATAAAAATATCAAACCGGAAATCAGGAATATTTTAGCAACTATAAGTTATAATTTTGTTTTGATGTTGGACGTGTTAACAGAATTTGTCCTTTCCGTGTGAAGAAGTGGTCAAGTCATTTTTTTGGTTACGATCAACAGAAAACGAACCGTGCAACGTTCTATTTCAAGAAACGTTCACGTCGTATGGCCTGTGTTACTCGTTCAATATGATGCCGATGAGGGACTTATTGAGCGGCGAGGAGTAATATATAAAACTAATACTACACATCTATCATATTTTTTATTATTGACTATTTTAATAACTTTTGAGTAAATACTACCTTACTACTACCCTAATACTACCTTTATTGTTCTGTGATACTACCTTACCGCAGAGCAGTGATAACGGGTTCAAGGTATGAAATATAAATAGCTAGGCAACACAGGAAATAGATAAAATTAATCCAAATATTTTTAGGTCATTGTGCAAAGTAAAATTTATTGTGCAATTATTAAGTCTCCACAAAGCCACAAATGATGTTTTTGAATTAAAACATAACTGCAGTTTGAAAAACCTTTAAAAATATATTGGGAATTTTCAATTTTATTTTTAATTTGTATTAAATGATTAAATATTTTATATACCTATTATTTGCGATAAAAACAATTTAGAGCGGAGACGGTCTGCCAGTCATATCGATCGAATATATTATTATAACTATACTGACATAATGTATAATATTGAATTTCAAAATTTGACTGTTCGTTTTTATTTAAATATTATAATGACATTGAAATCTCGTAAATATAATATGTGTTATTGATACAAACTTTTACCCCAGGGTTATTTTGGGTCTAAGTTGTTGGTATTATTTTTTTCGGGGGATTCCTGTAGAATATAGCTATTACGATTTTAGTAAATTAACTAATACTACTTTACTGCGGTGTTATCCACATGTGGAATACTGTGTTTTATACACGGATTGTGTGAGGTTGCTCCCCCTCCAAATGAACATTGAGTTTTCTCAGAAACTGTTTGGTTACAAATTGTTTGATGTCGGTTACAATTAGTGACTAAAAGGTTACTAAATTTTGAAATTGGTCTGATGTAAATTGGACAAAATAGGGGACGAATTTTACGCATATATGTTATCCGCGACGAAAACAGGGCACACTAATTAAATTACCCATATGACCCCTTATAGTACCCTATACGTATTTTCGAATTCTGCTCGCGGAACACAAAACTATATAGACCATTGGATTTTAAATTTCCCGTGGACAGATATTTCCCGATATCCTAAAATATGTAGGTATAGCCGGTATAGGGTAGACACTAGACACCGAGAAATGCAGGTTACAAAGTTGAAAGGTGTACCCAGTTGTCGTGGACATGCTGCAGTACCTACATGTCATTATATAATTGTTATGTTGTTCAGCGAATGGTCGCAAGAGTTCAACAACTACAATTGGAAAAAATATCATAGTAGCTGGAAGCCGGACACCGGATATAGAAGCGACGCGCTGATAGGTCATTTGCCTCTGAGGACGTTTGGTGACGGTGATTATCACAGTGCTACTATGAAGTTGGAACTTCACTCCGAGGACATGAACAAACAATGTGCACAGGGGTTGGACGTATTCTACGTAATACGATAAAACGACAATTTTACAATATATTGGTTTTGTCGTTTATACTGCTATAACAATAATGTAATACGCACGAGTACAATATAATCACGTATTACTGTTTTATAGATATTGATCCACAGTCCGGCCGAATGGCCCGACAGGTCACATCCAACATTGTTAGCCAGCGTCAATATGATCTCGACTATTTCAATTAAACCGTATGTGGTTACTACCGCCGAGGAGCTGATACCGTGGGATCCCCAAATAAGACATTGTTACTTTCAAAACGAGAGAAAACTCAAATTTTTCAAAGTTTACACTAAAAATAATTGCATTTTGGAGTGTCGCAGCTTTAATATTTTGGCGCAGTGTGGCTGTGTGCCTTTTTATTACTTAAGTACGGGCCGATTTCAAAACGCTTATAAAAAACCGATCATTTTTGTTGGCTTGGAAATTTACAGGAACGAAAAACACGCCAGTTTGCGGACCTGCTAAAATGCCATGTTGGGTTACTGCGTCACGTAAGTTATTCAACGGTTGCGCGGTTTTACGGTTAGCTTAGGAAATTTCGGGGGTACGAGCTTTCAAACAATTTGTTGGTTTTTTAAGTTTATTTTATAATCATAAAAAAACATTGACTTACGTTAGCGGAAAACTAAAAACGCTATGCTATAAAATATTAAGTTTTCTTCTATTTATTGTAGAAAATTACTTTACATAAACAAGTTTAAATGTATTTTAGATGTTACATTTTTATCAATTTTTTTTTTAAAAATTATTTAAAAAGCGTGTGTATGACATCCACTTTTTAATCAAAATATTATATCAAAACAAATGATGTGCATTTTTTTGTAAATTTAAGAGACTTCGTCGGATGCATGTGATTGTTTACCGGGATGCACTGAATTTTTTTTCAAAACATCGACAATGAATGCGCAACTCACTGAATCTGTAAAAAAAGAAAATGAAACTGACCTGTAAGAATTTAATGACAAAATTATGCATGTATAAAGAGTATACTATTTAAAAATTAAAGTAAATATTTGTATCTACATCAATTATCAAAGCAATAATTTACAACTTATTAAGACTTTTTTTTGCAAAGGAAAAATAATTGAAATAAAAAATTCCCTTGATATTGAAAATGATGGGTGAACTAGAACAATTCAGAAAATGGATTTTAAATATTTTTAACAGAAGTACTACATAACTACTTAGTACTTATCTTGCATTTATTTTTATTATAAATATTTAATATATTATTAATTATTATCAAGTTTATAATTATACAGCATAATACCGCAGCTACTCTACTACTATACTTCAAGATTACTTATAAATATGTTTTTTATTGAAATGGTTATTATTTTATCAGTAAACTAGGTTCACGCCTACGTTCTGTTAAAACCATTTTTGCCTGGTTTTATTACTGTAAATATAGTTTTGAAATTAAAGTTGAAAATAAAATATTATTCAGTAAACAAATAAATTGATTTTGTATAAATAAATATTGTCTTACCGATTCAACTACCAAAAAATGTTCAATTTAAACGGTTGCATACTAATTTCATACTGGTTTATGCTGCACTTATTTTTTACTTTTTTTGTTAGGAAAACTTTTGAGAAATTTGAAATAAAAAGTGTCTTTAAGTTATTCTGTTTTCGATATTTTGTAGCTGCAGTAAAATGTCAAACTTTAATAAATTAACCAAAATATTTTAAAATCGTATGATATCTAGGTAAAGCTCATATATATTTTTGGAAAAAATATTAAGTCTCTAAATAATTTTGAGTTTTTGAATAAAAAAAAAACAGAATTAATTTTAAAAAATCTGGTTTTTCGTAAATACGTTAATACATATAGGTACCTGGTATAATGGTAATATTTGTTGTTCAACGTGTTTTTCTCAATTTCTTTCGGTTATACAGATTAGCTCGTAAAGTATTGAGGTTTATCTACTAATTATGACTCCTCCTCTACCAAAAAGTAGAAACTAGAATCAATTTTCTACCAGATATTTTTTTGAAGTTGAAGATCTGGGTAATTTTTCTGAGGTGTTTTCAGACATAGAAAGAACACTCATCAGACTGTAGATATCCGTAAAACCATTGTAATTATCATTCAGATTAGAGTCCAATATTATTTTATGTGGATTTGAAGAACATTTGAGGGGTGGTCACCTCCCCCTCTACAGATAATCCCTTATAAATTTCAGGTATTAGGTGTATTTATGACTGGGGAATATAATACATTTTTTGTATTTATTCATCAACGAATAGACAACGTTATTTTGTATCAAACAAACGGTTTGTCCCTACATTTTAAAACTAATCGTTATAATTTGACTTATTAAATTATTACCGGAACACATAGCTGCAGGGTTGTGTGGTGGACAGTGGTGATAAGATTTTTTGTTTTCTTACCTATAAAAATGTTTACCGGGAGCATACTTCGTGTACCTGCGTAGTAGTCAAATTTAATAACCAACTGTGGGTTATACTGTATACATTGCAGTAGTGTTGTTTTTGGAAATTACATCGTTGGTACTGACGAAAAATAAGTACTTGTAAAATAACGCGAACAGTTCTAAAATGTGATAGTAAAAATTCAGGTAGGAACCCGCAGTGAAATAACAGTGATCTACGTGAAAATAATAATTTTCTATTAATTTAATAATTTAAATAATTTAAATAATTTAATAAAAATAATGAATAAAACATGTTTATAATATTCAGGAACATAATTTTAAAGTACTTAAAAGTTAAGAACGCTGGAATAATAAATATCAGTACAAATAGTATTCTGAAAGAGATCGAATAACGTGAGTAATAATATCTTAAAGTTTGAGGGTCCATATAAACCATTGACAGTAAATTTCCTGAAGGTACCACCCTAAAATAAAATGGCGAAGGGAAAAAGCAGACATAAGAAGTCGTATCTGAAAAACGCGATATCGGATATGTATTTAGGTGAATGCATGTGAATGATTCTACGAGTGATAAAGATGTGAGAATAATATCATTATTCCACACAATAGAAAAACAAAATTGACAACAAATTTAATTTTTTCTTCTTTGTATCATAAAAGTTTACGTATTATAATGTTCGCTGTAAATCTTGACGTTTTATAAAAAATATTATACGCCCATGGTATACAGCCAAACATATATTTTCTTGTTTTGGTCTCTATAACTTTACCCGTAACTGTTCATAATCGTATACATTTTTGAAAAGTTTTGAAAAATTAAAGTTTATCTCTATATATAAATGAATTATCAAGTATAAATATTTATAAGTAATATCTATATGCTATATCCGCTCTACACTTATTAATACAATCGCTTTAATAAGTTGTAAAATACTAAAATGTCAACAATACAAAGTGTTATCAAAGAGAATATAACGGGATTCTCTTAATTTATATACTATACATTTATAATATTTTATATTTCTTATATATTTTACTACCTACGTCCTATATACTATTATTATAATATGTGTATTTGTATTTATATATATTATGTATCATGTTGGTGAATTGATTCATTTGGTTCCATTATTTTACTTGAATTAGAATGACTTAGGTATAATTATTCAAATTAGAGATTAGTACAAACAGTATTAATTATCAAAACTTTAATTTCTACCATTTTCAAATAGAAAAATAAACTTACATTGATAGTAAATTTGTGCTGGGTTTATTAAATCTATAAAATAAAATAGAAACTGATGATTATAAATTTTACCTTAGAATATTTATTAAGAATTATGTGTCATATATTCGGCTGGAACGCGAATAATTTCTAATTGAATACACATTTTCTTGATGTTTCCATCCCTTATTAATGATTATAATATATTATATAATAATTGTATAATATAATTAATTGTTTTAGAGCACCTAGTTCGGTGATATTAAGTGTTTATTATCAGAGTAAAAATTTCATTGGACATAATCGAATAATGACTTTTACGTTCGGTCAATTCATGGGTAAGAACACATTTTGAAAATATATTGTACTCTAATTTGTTTTATTAACGTGATTTAATTTTAACATATTTTAGGTAACGTGGGAGGTATAATGGGACTGTGCTTGGGGTTTAGCTTTTTGAGCTTGGTTGAGATTATTTATTTTTTAACACTCAGACCACTCGTCAACTTTTGTAACGCAAAAAGAAAATTGAAAAAAGTTGATCCAACACGCGTGTTGGGAGAAGAACCAATTTGATCTAATTTAGTTTCGTCGGCAGATGAATAGTGCCTTGCTATTTAGTTAAATGAACTATTGTTAACTATCTCTTATAAAATATTATTACAGATATTGCTGGAAAACCGGAGATACGCGATACTCTTATACACATAATAATAAATTATTAGTTTTCACAACAAATTTTTAGTATCTGATTCTTTGTATTTACATAATATAATATAATATTTATATTGAAGAAAACTTTAAACTATAAACTATATTGGAATAATGGAATTAATATCAATAATTTGTTATATTGCAGTATTGTTATGTGCTAAACTGATTTGTAGCTTATATTTTTCATTTTAAGTAATTAAACTCTTGAAAATAATAACGAAAATATAATGTTGGATGTGTTAACGAAATTTAATAATGTTTCATCGGCTTATCGCAAGTTTTCTCATCGTGATTTTCAGATATATTTTATAAATATAACTGTATCAGCATATATTATAAGTAAGCATAATGCATAGGATATAATATTACACTGATGCACAAACGTATCAAGTGTAATTCCAACTCTCTTGAAAAAATATTCATTTTTAAAAAATTAGTTGTGTGCAGTTAATCTTAGTATTATTTTTTAGTTATGCATTTCACCAATGTATGGCTAACACCAGACCTACACCAAATGTATTACACTTACCTATATAAGATATTATTCTGTTTACTAGCCATGTCCCCTGTTAATTATTAATGTATTCATTTTACAAAGCAATGTGCACATGCGAGTTGTAAGTTTGTAACTAATTAGCATCTAACATTTCTAATGCCTATATAAATAGCGTAAAGAGAGCTCACTCATTGAGTAGGTAATACTCTATGGAAGAACTGCTCTTAATAGTATGATAACATTGATATTATATTGGATTGTTGTACAAAAGATATTATTGACAATTGATCATATTGTAAATCATACCATCATTTGTCAAGTCTGGTCCTCACGATGATAGTAAAACGCTATATTAAGTGCAGTTGAATAATATACGAATAATTGCAGGTAAACATTTAATTTAATTTAATTTTATAGTTAAATTCATTTAGCATACGATTTTAAGGGTAGATATACTTTTTATTACGGACTAAGGTACCTACATATAACATTAGGCAATTCATATAACTGTGAACTTAATTGGTTAGCTTTTTTTGTGTTGGGGGGGGGGAGGGGGGCTTGAGTTTCACCTTAAGGCTAAAATTATCTTTTCACATAGACTAATTGCCTTTTTTCGTGGTATGATAAAATAGGTACTTTAGAATAATATAATTATTTGTATATCGGTGATCAAAAAGCTTTATTTATGTATAAGGCTGAGGACTTCTAATTTTCTAGTATTTCTCTATAAAGGTCGTAGAGTAATATTAGTGAGGTAAATTTCACAACACAAGGAGAGGTTTATTCAAAATTGTATTATTGCATATAGATGCGAATATTTGAGTATATTAGACAAATTAACAGCATACTATAGTATGTAGTTACAAAATTGGACAACTTTGATATTAAATATAATATTGTAACATGTAAAAATCTGTTTAATAATATCATTTTTCAAACTTGTAGCCTGTAGGTACCTATGTATTTAATATTTATTCTATAGGTTATGTAATTCATCATTTAGCCGATAACACCACGGCGTGTGTGTGAAGTGAACTTTAGTAGTTGCCCGTCATAAATTATAGTATACCTTCACAACCGTTCAACTGTTTGATTATCGTGCAATTAATTTTTCAAGTTTTATCAATTAATTAAAATATTGTTTTTTTTTATTATCTTTTATCGGGTGAATATTATAATTTAGGCAGGTACAATATTATTTCATAAAATGTTAAATTTTTTTAAACAGCGACCTATTTTAAATGCATAAGTGCATTCTTATTTTGAGATTTTCGAGTACTAGAAGTCCACACTCACAGGCCCAGCACTCTTGCGTACATATCATAACACCTACGGAACTAACGAGAGTTTTGCCAAAACCGAGTGCTGCGGTCACGAGTTAATGAGTAATGTTATTTTATTCGTATTATTATTATTATTAAATCGGTCCGCGGTCTACGATATTATTATGCTTATAGACACCACCGCGGCGTGCGGGCCATGACCTAGCTGAAATTAAGGTCTGCGCATGACTATCATATAATATCATATACATTGTGAGGTGCGCGGGGAGGGGGGCACACGGCCGGCTCGTGGGGGTTGTACCTTAACTCGGGGTGTGTGTGTGTGTGTGTGTGTGTGTGTGTGTGTGTGTTTTGTTCGGCCTGACGTTATTTGACCGTAGAACGGTTCAACGGCCATCTCCTGTTCGAGATTGTGTTCATTAATCATGTTTGTGTGTTTGGCCGATGTTTTGCGTGCGTGTAGCTATATATACAGAACATACTATACCCATAGTACTTATATATAATATACACACACACACACACACACACACACTTACCTACGACAGTGAAATGAGCTCTCCTATTCCGAGTCACCGGAAACTGATGAGAAATTTGCCGAAACTGTCACTTTTTTCCCCTCTTCTTCTGTTCTTCGCAGTTTTCCGCAATATTCCCCAAAGATAAGAATATAATATTGTACGCAGGTACCACATACGCACATTTTCGAATATAATCTACCATTATTATATAACAAAAAATTATTATGGTTATAAAGCTAGTATACTATACAAAACACCATCTGTAGTGTCCGTTCTGGACACCACTCAATCGATAAAGCCACTCGCGGAGCCTATACGAGACTTTCGAAACACCATTTTATTTCTACATCAAAACACAAAAATCATAGACTTTTGAAATTCAATGATAATTACGATTGAAATCGATAAATTATAAAATGATTTAATTCATTTTTGTAATTACACTAGACCGTACAGTAAAACCACTTAAGAAGTAAACTAATGTAAAGATGAAATTGTAATACTCATATGTAGCTAGCAGTCGCATTTTAGTTCAGGATCTTAAAAATAGGTCATAATAATATTCAATATAGGTAGTAAGCAAGTTACTAAAGCATTTATTGTGGTAATAATAATTATTGTTGAAGTACCAACGAGGATGTTAAAATAATATTATAATTTTTACTAAATTAAATATATACCATATATATTATTTATTATGTATACTACTTCATATCGAACTGTCAAAGACCAAGTTAAATCAAACAATAATGATACTGAATTCCATTTTTTTCTTTTACGTAAACAATAACATTATGCAAAGTATTCGGTGAACAGACCTACATTTTATGATATAAACTTAAATAATTTAAATTATAATGACAAAGGGGTCTATTCTCGGTGAAAGTTTAGGTCAAATTCTCTGTATTTATGGTTCACTAAAATAGCACAACACGTAGCGAGAACTAAAGCACTCGAATAAACTAAAATATTATTGCACATAATTTTATACACACACACACAAATACGAGGTGTATATAGGATATGATATATATACAACTGGTATCCATATAATAATATTATATTGACTTATATCCATCATTTCATTGTTTGCACAACGTTACAACGTATATCAAAATTTATCATCGTATATTATATTTGTCATATTATTATGTACCTAAATAACACATTTAACTCTATAAGTCATGGTCATCATAATACATTATACTTTAATAGAAGCACGCTTGAAATGTTAATTCATTCATTGGCATTAGTAAAATGTTATTAATTATTATTTTTATTAGTTTTTTTTTTTCATTGAACATAAAAACATCGGCACTAGGCCATTAGTTATTGAACTACATTTTTTTTTGCATTTTTAGTTAAGACTTAAATTAGGTTATATAATTTAATTTTTTTTAGGAGGTTGACTATGTTGATGTTTGATTGAAGATCGGGCTGTAGACGTAGAGCTTCACTTAATTGATGTGGTATGTGGTATTCGGATCTTGCATCTGAGTACTTGAAACAGTCAATAAGTATGTGTATGACGGTGAACTCCGCACCACATGATTCACATAATAATATTAATTTTTTATTGAATAATATGTGGAAAAAAGTATACATTTAACAATAGTTGTAGGTAAATCGTTGCACAACAATATTTTGTTGAAATATAAAATACCGTATACTTAAATCTGTCACTCGACCGCATTTCTTAAACTCAATATATTAATAATAATGAAAATTAAAGGAAACAACGCGAATCACCATCATGTGATACCTAAATTATAGAAGACAAAACCCAAAGATTTGCTCTCAAAAACGAGACGAGGCAAATCACCAAATCAATCAATTTGCGATCCAATATAAAGGCAATTCCAACTTCCAAGGATATCAGACGTTTTAAGCGTCTGAAAACATAGGACTTATAGCTTAAGAATTTCAAGGGCAGGACCACTTCACACATGAAGTGTGACTTCATCAAGTATAATATCATCTATGTAAAATACACTCAATTGTTAAATATTTATTAAGACCTCACAGTCGTTAAAATAAGTATTAAAGCTTTCATGCTTTGAAAAAAATTATATACATGTATAATATAATAATAATGACATCTGGATCTAGGATCGACGCGTCGACGGTATTCAACGCATAATATTTAGATAGATCTACACAGTTAATAGCATTATAATAAATATAATAATAATAATATGTAACATAATATAATATCATAATCAAGCACACTTGAATATAATATATATTTTTTAAAGTTGTCCATAATTTATAAGCTTTTGGTAGAGATTACTCCATTTGAAATGTTCACCATCTGGACATTGATTATCCGACACATTCGTTTCGTCATGTTTTAAAAACGTATCACACAATTTACTTGCAATTTTGTACGTGATATCGTCATCGATTTCACCACAGTCTTCGTAAACGACCTCAGATTTTAAATCCTTGTGAATTTTCTCGGAATCGTTTTCTGATTCCTCAGATTTTTTCTTCACTTCAAAAAGTCCGTTGACATGGTTAGCGATTTCTTTTGCTCTTTGCCTCACCCACGGAGAACAATATTCTATATTTTCCGACCAATGAAATCGATGTTCTGAAATATATTTTGAGTGCATTTCTAAAGATGGTTTACGTTCTTCCTATATTCAATGCAGTACAGTTGATTATATTATATTTATGAGAACTTATGTAAAAGATCCTAAGTTTTAAACATTCACAATTTATAAATATTTAGCTTAAATATTAAACGACGATGGATAATACTATTGTTTATGTACAAATAAATAAATATATAACAAAACAAAAATTATTACTCGAGATTCCAAATTATCTAAAAATGAATCTGCAGTCGTTGAATTTTCTGGGAA